ACAAAGCATCTCAAACGATGACGGTCGTAACCGCTAGGACTCGTGCACTCAGGTTTTTTAGGACAAATTATTTGACCTATCACGATAATGGACAATCGCAAAAGTTCGCAGAAGCAAGTGTTGTTGTTGTTGTTGTTGAAATTTTATTTTGTATCGCAGACCAAACGGGCAATGGTGCCCAATATTATGATGGCGATAAAGTAACGGCCGAGAGCCAAGGATACAACAAGCAAGCCTCCACGAAAGAGAGAAAAACACAGAAAACACAGACTGCAAATACTCAAAAAGAAAAAGAGAAAGGGAAAAAAAGAAAAAAGAAGAAGAAGAAAGCACAGTTGAGTCACAGTTGAGTCACGACTCCAAGTCCAAGCCTAGATGCTGGCTAACCATAAAAATAAACCTTTAAAAGTCTCTTGAATGACCTATGGCAGGCGAGGGACTTGAACTCTTGGGGCAGGGCGTTCCATAATCTAACAGCAGAAACGAGCGGCCGACAGTCACCAGAGACTCACCTGGTGGCAGGGACAACATACGCATTTGGATCGTTGATCTGAGTGACGCCTTCAGTCTGGCGACGTAGGCGCTTGGACAGGAGATTACTAATTCTGGCGGTGTGGATACGAAGCATGAGGAGGCGGAGTTTACAGTGGGCGTTTTGGATGATGGGGATGAGGCCTAGACGGGTGTAGATGGGATCTGTGTGGGAGGGGAATGGCTGGTTGGCAACGCAGCGGATACATCGCTTGTCGAGGACCGAAAGCTGATGCCGTTGGTGCGCAGAGAGAACCGAGAAGAAGGCATTAGATCCATACAACATGTCCGGTAGTATTAACGATCTGTAAAATAGCAGGGCTTGTTGCTCAGTTAAGGGGGTTCGGGACAGTTAGGCCCAAAAATTTAATTTCAACATCAGCCCAATCTGACAACAGGTTTGAATAGGTACAGCCTTATATTTTCGCTTAGTAACATCAGTTTTTCAAGTGCCCGAATAGGTCTTGCCAAAAACACAATTTTCCTTGATGACACAAAATAACACAAAATCCCAAAATTGATGAGAAATCGTCCATAACACCAGTTAGGACAGAAAATATGACATAAAATTTTACAGACTGTTCGAGGTATTGACTAAGATGATATCAACACCGAAAAATGTATACTTTGGTTGACAATGGGATTCAGGTCGTCATTTCCTGGAGAAGAACAAAAAGACGCAAAAAATGAAACTTTGAATATTTTTTGCAGCTTATTTTTGAGTTTGCCCCATATGTGGATACTTCAAATACGTTCTATAAGTGGGTTGGAACAGGTCTACCGCGGCGAAAATAGGGGTCACCTTGCATATTCTGGAGTTAGCCCCATCCCTCACACAAACAAGTCAACAAAGAGGCATCTTTGGATTGAGGAGTGCTGGTTTCGAAACAACTGGTTTGAAGCTCAAAGTAGAGCTGGTGTTAGCTCAGAGCAGAGCTGCTGTTAGCTCAGAGCAGAGCTGCTGTTAGCTCAAAGTAGAGCTGCGGTTAGCTCAAAGTAGAGCTGCGGTTAGCTCAAAGTAGAGCTGCGGTTAGCTCAAAGTAGAGCTGCGGTTAGCTCAAAGTAGAGCTGCTGTTAGCTCAAAGTAGAGCTGCGATTAGCTCAAAGTAGAGCTGCTGTTAGCTCAAAGTAGAGCTGCTGTTAGCTCGAAGTAGAGCTGCTGTTAGCTCAAGGTAGAGCTGCTGTTAGCTCAAAGTAGAGCTGCTGTTAGCTCAAAGTAGAGCTGCGGTTAGCTCAAAGTAGAGCTGCTGTTAGCTCAAAGTAGAGCTGCTGTTAGCTCAAAGTAGAGCTGCGGTTAGCTCAAAGTAGAGCTGCTGTTAGCTCAAAGTAGAGCTGCTGTTAGCTCAAAGTAGAGCTGCTGTTAGCTCAACGTAGAGCTGCAATGCTAAATGGATGTAATATAGCGCAAGGCAGAGCCGCAGCAAATAGCTAGATAACACCAGTTGTGAGAGTGGACCCGGTTAGTGGGTACGATAATATTATGATGGTGTGAATAAGTTGGATAGGGAGGGATGGTGGGAAAAGAAACACTGCTGAAGCACGATCCGTTGTCTGGAAGAGCACAACAGGGCAAGCAAGATTTGTTTTTCTTTTCCGCAAAAACGGGCTGGTGCCATTTGTGATTACGCAGCAAAACAAAGCGCATGACGTCAGTCTTGAATGCAGTACAAAGCAATGCAGTGCAGTGTGTGCGCTAGTTCGGATTGTTGCTAACAAGTACTAGCACAGCTAGTACACCATTAGCCCCATCCCTCACACAAACAAGTCAACAAAGAGGCATCTTTGGATTGAGGAGTGCTGGTTTCGAAACAACTGGTTTGAAGCTCAAAGTAGAGCTGGTGTTAGCTCAGAGCAGAGCTGCTGTTAGCTCAGAGCAGAGCTGCTGTTAGCTCAAAGTAGAGCTGCTGTTAGCTCAAAGTAGAGCTGCGGTTAGCTCAAAGTAGAGCTGCGGTTAGCTCAAAGTAGAGCTGCGGTTAGCTCAAAGTAGAGCTGCGGTTAGCTCAAAGTAGAGCTGCTGTTAGCTCAAAGTAGAGCTGCGATTAGCTCAAAGTAGAGCTGCTGTTAGCTCAAAGTAGAGCTGCTGTTAGCTCGAAGTAGAGCTGCTGTTAGCTCAAGGTAGAGCTGCTGTTAGCTCAAAGTAGAGCTGCTGTTAGCTCAAAGTAGAGCTGCGGTTAGCTCAAAGTAGAGCTGCTGTTAGCTCAAAGTAGAGCTGCTGTTAGCTCAAAGTAGAGCTGCGGTTAGCTCAAAGTAGAGCTGCTGTTAGCTCAAAGTAGAGCTGCTGTTAGCTCAAAGTAGAGCTGCTGTTAGCTCAACGTAGAGCTGCAATGCTAAATGGATGTAATATAGCGCAAGGCAGAGCCGCAGCAAATAGCTAGATAACACCAGTTGTGAGAGTGGACCCATGAAACCAGCACTCCGTTAGCTAAGCACTATTGACGCACAGCAAGGGTCAATTAATGTCAGCACAGGCAAGCATTGCGCAGCTAGAGTTCAGTAGCTCATTACTCACCCGAGTTGGGGATCATGGCATCCATGGCACGGCAGCAAGCCGGGACGATAGCTGGCGCTATGCGCTTGTTGTAGTCTGGATGTAGCGTAGACACGCATCGCTCTTTCCACTGACCTGCCACTCGGAAGGAGTCGGGGGCACTAGCCATAGCAGCGGTGGTGGCTGCACCAATGTGGACCGAATGCCCGGAGTAGTTCGACTGGGATGGTACACCGGCCGCAGCGACAAGAGACCATACTGTTACTGTGAATGACTGCCTGGTCAGCTGCTGTCTGTTCGAGAGTACGAACAAGAGTTGCTCCGGTCCCTCCCGACGAGTGACAGATGGGTAGCTAACAATGGCACGGACCGGGCAGTAAGGCGGTACAGACGGGCCAATGTCACTAGTAACGCCTTTACCGAATGGGTCCGTCTTGGATGAAAGCAGGAAGAGTTGCAGGCGTCCGTCACCAGGGGAGCTAGTACAGCCCCGTGTGATGCCATTAGTGAATTCAGCGCACCGAAGAAATCCAAAGAAGCAGCATGGCGGCTTGGTAGAGCAGCTTGTCATGGCCGTTCAGGATACTACTTTTCCGGCGTGCATCCGTCAGGTGTCGTAGGATTGGCATAGTTATAGGAAGGCGAGGGGTGAGTGCAGCCGTACCATGGCATCGCTGGATGCCCTTCAACACCCTCTTCAGAAGCCACGCATCTACTAGGGGGCCGGCAAACCCATTCTCAAGGTGGGCTTTATGCACCGCACTCGCATACACAGATACAGTTCAGGGCACGCTGATCATAGTTCACGCATGAATGTGTGTCCAGGAACGATGACTCGGGCAGCAAAAGTGAGCTTCCCCAGGAGGGACTCGAGTTGACGCTGGCCGATGCTGCGCTCGCTGATAGTAGCCATGAGTGGCGCACGGATCTCGGACAGCTTGTCCTCTGGTAGCCAAGCTTCGTGGCGCTCGCAGTCTAGGACAATACCAAGGAAGGTCAATGATGGTGATGGCCCTTCGAGCTGGGATTGAGCAAAGAGGAGTGCCGAGATACGTGAACGCCCGGAGGGGGATGGTGAGTTGCTGGTTGGCTGCAGCCAAACCAGTGGAGATATCGAGAAAGTCATCGAGGTAGTGAAGCCGGTGATCTATAGCAAACTCGTGCTGCATGATCCAGTTGACTGCTGTGGCTACTGAGTCAAAGACGGCTGGGCTGGAACGGAGGCCGAAAGGCAGAAAGCGCTCGTAGTAGTAGGAGCCTTCCCAGCGAAGTCCTGACGGCGGACTGGGATCTGCCGAAATGCACTGCGTACATCGAGCTTGGACAAATACACAGGCTGTGGGCATGACATGATGATGTTGATCGCGTTGTCAATGCTCGCGTAGTGCAGAGAGAGCGGCTCGGCAGGGATGCTGTCGTTCGCGCCGGTGCCTTCCGGGCTAGACAGATGGTGGATCATTCGCGGCTTGCCGTTCTTTTTGGGGATGGCACCAATACCAGAGCGGCGCATGAACTGAAATGGAGGTGACGGAAATGGGCCTGTGGTCTCGCTGCGGGCGCAGGAAGCAGCTAATTGCTCGGATATAAATGCCGAGTGAGTGAAAGCCAATGGTAGATTATTAGAGAAAACCGAAATGTCGTGTTGGCCGGCAGATCCAAGAGTAAAGCCACGGCGCGGGCCATGGAGAACATACGCAACACATGATTGATCTGAGTGGTTACGTAACAGGCGGGCAAAGTGGTCAGCTAGCAGTGTGGTGTCTGCAGAGTGTATAGGAAAGAAGCTACGTACCGAGTCAAGCGATTCAGTAGCCATTCTGCTAGGAGCGGCGGGGTGGCCGATTGGCTCCGCGCTGCTGCTGGTTGCACATGATGCATGGGTGGTCCTTGCCACACTGGCTGCAGGTGTGGGAGAAGCGGCACGACGACGAAGAACAGCGACCTCCATTGAAGTTGCGGCAGATTTCTTGGCCGTCGCTAGTATGGTTGCGACCACTGGAGGTAAATGCTGCTGGCTTGGAGACGAAAAGGACACAAACCGCCCCTGGATGGAACGTCTTACATTGAGCGCATTTTGGGTGTGCATGGCCTGTGACAGCTATCTGCCATAGGTTCACGTCGATGGTGTCCAACCTCTTCGTGCCTGGTTACTGGGCCACGAGCATCCGCAGCTGGCGGTCGTACTCTAGCCACGCGCTTGGGAAGAACTGGCGGTTAGCAGTCAGGATCAGCTGCTGGTACGCAATCAGTTCAGCAGTTCAGCAGTGCGGTGTAGGGCAGCAGCCGTGATAACAGACATGTATGTGGTCCATGCCTCGAGCCGGGTAGCTACATGTATAATTATCGTGAACCTTGCGACCAGCTGCTTCGCGTCATCCGACTCAACGATATTTAGCTGGCTATCGTTATTCGGGCTGTGCACCAGCCGGAATGTTGGGCCGGAAGTGTGCAAGAATTTCAGGCAACAAACTTGAAAAATCTACGAACTCCCCTCGCAAGATACGTTCTTGCACAGCCTTGGGCACAGCTGGTGCAGGTGGCTGATCGGGTGGGTTACAGGAGCTTGGCCTGGCGTAGTGGCGGCAGCTGCCGCATTGCCTTGGCCTTGGGTGAGGAGCGGCGCAATGCTCTCCGATAATAATAAAATGGCGGCCGACAAAGCCGACTACACCTCGTCCCGTACGGGAGCGCAGAGATCCGTTGAGCCCGCGTCACCTGAGCTGGCGGAGGAGGCATTGGTGCACGTCGGGCTTCTGGGCTCGCGAGCCGTGTCCGCACTGTCATTGTTGCTGGTTCTCCTGGCCGGAGCAGACCTCACTACCAAGGGCTAGTTGTGCCAGCAAACGGTCCTGTAAAATACTTTTACTAAGTTTCCTTTCGGATTCAGGCCGCGCTGAGAAGGCTCGCCGCGGAGAGCTTGGCAAGGCATTGCCTTGACAGTGTCGACAGTAAGGTCAGACATACTGAAGAAATACGGTGTCGAGGTGACACTCGGGCTGGCAGCAAAGCTACGAAAGGAAAAGAAACACTGCTGAAGCACGATCCGTTGTCTGGAAGAGCACAACAGGGCAAGCAAGATTTGTTTTTCTTTTCCGCAAAAACGGGCTGGTGCCATTTGTGATTACGCAGCAAAACAAAGCGCATGACGTCAGTCTTGAATGCAGTACAAAGCAATGCAGTGCAGTGTGTGCGCTAGTTCGGATTGTTGCTAACAAGTACTAGCACAGCTAGTACACCAAAAAATCCTAAAAACTGTCAAAATTTGACTAAAATTGGTAAATTCACGTATCTATATTTCTTGTACTTCTCTGCTGCTGCTTTGGTCATAACTTATTGGATTTTTGGCTGTTAGGTGTTGCATAAACTCTCTAGAGCCCTCGGCGTTCAGAACAATACAAGGATGGAATAGCTGAACTAGTAAATTTGCCGGAAAACCCTGGGTGCACGCTTTATTGATAGGTACTTTTCTCCATGATTACTCTCCTGTTGGTAAGTTGGTTGTGATACATGTACATGTAGCTGTGATAGCGCTTAGCACAGCCCCATATCAAACTACAATGAAAGCTTACATGTTGGAACGAATCAGACAACATTGAGTCCTCTTTTTCTTCAACTATGCGAGCTAGAACGTGTCCCCACACTGGCAACAATGATGGTATTTTACGGTAAATAAATTTTTTATTTTTATTTTTTTTACTGTGCCACAGGACGTTCCTTACAGTTGGGTTGCTGCTGGTTCTTTGCTAGGTGTTCAGCCACCGCTAATATAATCTTCCTTGAGACTGTCACCCGCTTCTTACCTCCGACTTGCTCCTTCATCAGTCTGGAAATGGCTGGCTCACCACTTCGTTTGTAGGACAAGACAAAGTGCTTCATCACCAACTCACTGGCAGCTGCTCGCACTGCAACTGATTTAGAGAAGCACGTTGCTTGGACCAACGGTTGAAGGGTGGCCAGCCGCTTTTGCTGATGTTCTGCAAACTCCATCGCCGAACATGCTGATGCAAAAGTGACAGAGTGCTACAGGATACTGGCATCAGGGCGAGCTTCGACAATTATTTCAGCTAGGGCCGCAACATCCGCAACACCATCATGAGCAGCGAACTCATTCCCAACGATGAACTATAAATCAATCTGAGGATGTAGCTTGGGAGCTCCGGTATCGCGGTTTAGGGATCAGAGTGTTCACCCAGCACAAAAATGCACACCATCGACACACACATCCGTGCACACATACACACACACACACACACACACACGCACATACACACACATGCATGCTCTAACACGCAATAGAAAACACGCACGTACACACATACATTCACGCACGTGTGCGTACCCACCCACATGCATGTGCACACTCATGTGCATGAGTGGAGATGCCCGCATACACATGTCACACCAACATGCCCTGGGAGCGGTCATGTACGTGTGTATAGTATGTGTGCGAGGGCACGTCCACATGAGCGCATATGCATGTGCATACATGCGTATGGTGCACACATGCACAAACAGGCAGGTCTATGCAAACACACACACGCTCGCGGCCGCCGCGCATACAGTGTGCTCATACATTTCCATAGCCATAGGGTGGCAATGACTCGCAAATATCATGAATAAATCTTATGAGATTGAAAAACGCACTTACCCAAAGCAGCTTTGGTGTTGCCTGTGGAAGCACGGGGGCCAGGGTGTTGAGCAGTTACAGGGCTATCTGTATCTATAAAATTCTCCATCCCACACTGCTGACACGGAATGACAAGTACGCTGCCCAGGTCGTACCTCTTCTCTTCAACGCAATCAATGAGCGCCAGAGGTTTGCCACATCCAGGATTCTGGCACGCAGACAATCCCACAGCCAGATACCTGAGATAAACGATTCGTCGACCGTGAAGAGGGGCACTGAACGACCTCTTCGCGGGAGTCGAATCCAGTGGCGTTAGTGGTGGAGATCGCCCTTTCCGTTTTTCAGGAACTCGATCGATCGTTTGAGTTTGCGAAGCGTCCCCCTCCTCGGCTTCTTGCATCGTCCAGTGCGCAAAATGAGAGGCCGCGTCGTGGGTGACGGATTACTCTCCCGCGTCTTTATCTCCACGACATGTCGGCAGGAGAACCGAGCTATCCAAAAACCGCCAATGTCAAAACAAATCCGCAAGTCCACTAGTGGCTGAGCTTCTTCCTCAAATCTTGTCTCGACTCGAGCACGCGCTGCGAAGTCATGGTCAAACTATTTACTGTACATGATCGCGTCCCATTTTTCCACTCCGAAAGGCATTATTTTTCAGAAAAAAATTCGGAAATCCAACATGGCGCTAACCGTCGCGAACCTCCTTAAAGGGGAAGTTAAGGCAAAAATTAAAATTTCACCAGTTGTAGTCTTCGGGGTGCTGAGTCGAATGGTCTTGGTCCGAGGAAGCTGAGACGCTCCCTTCCTACTTGAATCCCAATCGAACTCGCGCACTTCCACCGAAACTGGGTGACTGCGCCCTACGAGATGGGGATTTGTATGCAAAATGTCACTAAAAGCGCCATTTCGTTCTTATAAAAGCACGGATGACCGCGATTGGCCCATATGTTGTAGTCTTTTGGACGCTGAGTCGACTGGTTTTGGTCCGAAAAGGCTGCGATGCAGCGTTCCGCCTTTATTCCCAATCGAACATGGTTGAACAAGCGGTCACGTGCTCCTGCGTACGCCAGTCACCTGGTCACCGTGCCTGCAGGGTACAACTTACTAGCCTGTTTGACCTTTTTTGGGTGCAGTCCTGTCACTCGAGTTGAACTCGAGTTGAACCTTGGTGTGAAAGTTGTCACCTGCTGGCGTGGTGACCAGGTGATTTGGGCACCCAGGAGCACGTGACCACTTGTTCAACCATGTTCGATTGGGAATAAAGGAGGAACGCTGCATCGCAGCCTTTTCGGACCAAAACCAGTCGACTCAGCGTCCAAAAGACTACAACATATGGGCCAATCGCGGTCATCCGTGCTTTTATAAGAACGAAATGGCGCTTTTAGTGACATTTTGCATACAAATCCCCATCTCGTAGGGCGCAGTCACCCAGTTTCGGTGGAAGTGCGCGAGTTCGATTGGGATTCAAGTAGGAAGGGAGCGTCTCAGCTTCCTCGGACCACGACCATTCGACTCAGCAGCCCGAAGACTACAACTGGTGAAATTTTAATTTTTGCCTTAACTTCCCCTTTAAGCAGGAGCGAATGGCTCGCAGCGCTGCCAGTTTCTGGTGTCAAGTGAAAGAAACATTTTTTGGGGCGGGGGGGGGGGGGGGGGGAGTTCTAGCTGAAAATGGCAAAGCAGGCTTCAGGAATGTACATATGTATAATCATAATGCGTGCATGTTGCGAAGCCTGTATTGCGAAAGTATGTATGTATGTTTTGTTTGTTTTGGTAGTGCGGCTTGTCTGAAACTAGTTTGGTTCGTTTCTTGGACTTCTGCGACCTTTTGCTATGGTTCGCGAGTTCCTGCTATGGTTGGTGAGTTAGTCTACTAGCATAACATTACATGTACTGTAGACTAGCATACCGTTACAGGGTTCTAGCCAAAGGGGGGTAGGGGGGGGGGGGGGCGCAGCGCCCCCCCCCCCCCTACTCATTTTCCGATTTTCGTGTTTTTCATGCATAGATGGTTCATAAAGGCACATTTGTCTGGGGTGAAGTCGGGGATTCGCCCCATACGTTGCATTTGGCATGGCAAGACAATATTGGAAAGTGGAAAAATGGGAATAGGGTAACTGTTTCCCATGCCCACCCCCCTACTATTTTGACCTGGCTAGAACCCTGCTTTACATGTACTGTAGACTAGCATAACGTTACATGTAGAGGGGACGGCTCGATACCGGGACGCTTTGACAGCCAAATTTGTATAGACCCAACCCGATCATCAGCGTTGATTTTTCACTCGAAATATGTTTGTGGAAGGAAACTGGCATGTTGAAGTTTGCTCTGGGGCCAGAGTCAATCGAACTGAGCCACTCCTTTGTGTTGACCCATTGCCTCCAAGTTGCCCAATTTTTCGCTTCAAACAAGTTCAAATCAGAGGTGGCTCCAAACCGGACACGTTTTAGAGTGCACGTCAAATTCACTCTGGCTCTGAAATTAGGTAATTGCTATCGCTCCACGACGGCCAGTACAGAGTAACAATAAGCCTTGTGTGTGCTTCCATTAGTTTTGATTGGTATGCGGTGCTTTATTGGTGAGAGGCTGTTTACCTGCGACAAGAAGTTGATTTTTCGAAAGTCGCAAAACTCAAGTCGCAGTGCGAAGCAACACGTCAAAAACTCACCTGCTTGATATGGCGCTTCTGGTCATCGCAGAGCCATGAAATTTTGGCTCGGAGTATAACACATCGTAGTCTTACTGTGACATATGTTTTCTAATCAAAATACCAAGAGAGAAAGTGAATATTGAGTCTGTTCCGGTTTGCAACCTGTGTCCTATTTGAAACCGTCCCCTCTACTGTAGACTAGCATAACATTACATGTACTGACCCACTTGGAGTAATACATATACTGACCCACTCAGACTAGTCTGTAGTACTTGTCGCTGATAGGCACAGCGGAGTGTGCTGCCAAAACATGTTGCTGAAGAGTTCATGAAGAAAGCGCGTTGCAATCGCCTGGTGTAGCCTTGTGTCCACTGCACATAGGGCAGAGGATATGCGCCAACACCGGAACACATGCGCAATGCACGTGCACAGACCAGACGCCACATACGCACATACCAACAAGCATGCACAACACATGCACAACACATGCACAAGCATGCACATGCACGCACATGCACGCACAAATACGCAAAAAAAGCATTGAGTGTAGGGGTGAAACAATTATACCGAATACTCGAGTACTCGCTCGGTTTGTTCAGAAATAATCGTACTCGGAATAAATCAGAGTACTCGTTCATACGTGGTACATGCATTTACCACAGAAATCTGCAGTTTCAGAGCAGCAGTCGGCAGATATAGATGTGCAGACTGTGTGGTGAACATTTGTTCACGAGTAGAGAGAGCCCCAATGACCCAGCAACCAATATACTAGAGAAAAATGGCAGCCACTCGTTTCAAGCAGGGTTGTATCATGTAATTTTAAGGCCCCCGGTGTGCAATTTATAGGAGATGATGAATACTCGAGTACTCGAATATTCGATCGGAGAAAATCAGAGTACTCGAACTCGGGATCTCAATGCCAACTTTCACCCCTAATTGAGTGTCATATACTTTTAGAATAAAACCAATAGTATGGAGATATGTGATTGCGGTGAAGCAAGCCCCAAGTCCACTCACATTTCCCAGTATCCACGGGTAGATCGATGCTCTGACACCACGTAGAGAAGACGACCATCCGAGCAGCGCGCCGCTGAACACATGCCAGTTAAGACCGGGTATCAGTATAGGCGGTGGTAGAGGTGGCACAGTCGTTGGCGGTGGCTGTGTCACGGGGGGCGATGTCACCACCGGGGTTGGTGTGATGACAGTGTAGGTACTATACTCTGACGGTGGAGGGCAGGACGTCACCGTCTGAACTATGGTATTGCCCCCGGTGCAAGGCTGAGCCAGCACTGAAAACAAGAACACACACACACACACACACACGCCCACACACACACACGCCCACACACACACACACTATTCGCGCTATTCACATCACCAGATGTGAATTGGGTGAATGGATTCCGAACCGATTCCAGCGCTCATGACATGAAAATCGAACGACTTGAATGCATGCGAATGGATTCATGAATCGATTCAAGTGCGTAATCGAACGCACTCAGTGCATCGCTTACTCTAATCCTATCCCTTACTCTAAGCCTGATTGCAATCCTGACAAACCCTATCCCCAACTCCAACTGTCCTACTCTAACCCTACTCCCCTGACTTCCAACCCTGATTCATTATGCATGTTCGCTTACGCCGGCACACGCGTCACAACACCCCTCACAGCAAAAATGCTCGATCTCAACTTGTTTGTCTCATCATGTGACCATGGCCGTACACACTGCGGGAAATAAGTTATGCATCGGGATTGACCCTACCCCTAACTCCAATCCTAAACCCATCACACTCTGCTTTACTGGAATTCATGTAAAACTGACAGTGATATGAACTTTTAACTAGTGACGCACACAGCCGAACCAAGTCCTTGGCTACATGAAAAAAACCTCTACCAATCTCCCCCAACTCTCCCTAAATCTTTCCTAATTTTCATCATCAGGGAAATGTGACTCCTGCGAGCATAACAACCCGTATAAGTACACAAACGGTAATGATAATACCGTGATAATGTAGCGAGAATGCCATAATTGCTAAGCCGGAACTGAGACCAATCCTGTAGATCACCATCATACGGTCACATATTCAAAGAACTACCTACAATATCTTACGCCAGGCAATAAAACGTCCATGAAAAGATGTTGAACATCAAGTGCCTCAGCTTGCACTATCTCAAGTCAGGTCAGTGTTGAAGAGTCAGCATGAAGTGCGTGCCTCAGCTTGTGCGATCCCAAATCAGGTGTGAAGGCGAAGAGGCCCGAAAGTTCGAGAGAGAGAGAGAGAGAGAGAGAGAGAGAGAGAGAGAGAGAGAGAGAGAGAGAGAGAGAGAAAGGGTGTGTGTGTGTGTGTACATGTGTTTATGTACATGTGTGTGTGTGTGTGTGTGTGTGTGTGTGTGTGTGTGTGTGTGTGTGTGTGTGTGCGCGCGTGTATGTACATGTGTGTATGTACGTGGGTGTGCGTACGTGTGTGTGCGTACGTGTGAGTCTCACGAGTGGTAATTGCATCCGTAAGGGCATGTTCGATTGGTAGGATCCGGATCCAGATCCAGATCTCAGATCCGTCGGATCCTTCAGAATCAACCGAACACTTTTCTTTGGATATTGACTGTTGCCATGTTGACGAAGTAATAAAGTGGTGCTCACAGGTCACCCAAAAGGGTGAACGTCGTACTGCCCGCTCGTCGTACAAAAAGTCAAAAAGAGTATCTCGATCCACGCGTGTGCGTACCACAATGCGTACAAAAATGATTTTTACCTGCCATTTACGCACAAAGGTCCCATTTGGATCTGGTTGGATCCGATCAACCCTGCTCCCCGAGGTGGGTTGACCGGATTCAAATCCAAAGGATGCGGATTCGACCAATCGAAAGGGTGCGGATCCAGTGGATCCGGTTGATTTGGATCCCGATCCTTCCAACCGAACATACCCTAAGATGAGATGGTGTTGTTCCCCTTACCTATCAAAGGTCCAGTTGTTTGGATGATTTTAAGTCCCAATCAACTCTCCATCCTCTGTCACAGTTGATTGTTGGCTTTCTGCGTCTGATTTTGGTTGCTTCCATGTACTTGGGTGAAGGCAGTGAAGACTCCCTGCTGAGAAGTTTTGCAAAGGACCATAAAGAAGGTTTGCCAATCCGACCAGTTCAGTGTCAGCTGTTGCGATGGACCCACAAGAAACCTCTCAGTGCTGATAAAACGCATCCTTAACCAGCTATTGCGCTGTGTACCGTCACACCTGGCCCCTACTTTGAAATACATTGAAGAGCTAAAGAAACACCAGAAGATGAGTGAAGACTACCCAGTGTCCCTCGACGTGGTCAGCCTGTACAGCAATATCCCAATTGCTGACATCATTGAAGTCGCGACTAGATTACTGGAAGAGCACCGCGAGGACGTCCATATGTTGGGTCTGAGCGTGAAGGATGTGCAAGATGCCCTGCAGTTCATCCTGACCAACAACGTCTTTGAGTTCGACAATCAGCAGTACAGGCAGCTGATAGGAATCGCCACGGGTAATCACCTAGCACCACCGCTGGCCATTATTTTCATGACAGCGCTTGAGAATGCAGCCCTGTCTTTTCAAGCGCTACATAGATGATAATTATCATCATGCTATGACGACATGGACGAGCGGCTCTGGACCGGTTTGTCGTCCACCTCAACAGCCAACACCCGTTCATACGATTCACCGTCACACACTCTGGCAATGACATCCGGAGCATCGACTTCTTGGATCTGAGGCTGAGTGTCAGTCCCGAGTGTGCGCTGGAATGGGAGCTATTCGTCAAGCCCTCACACAGCGGAGTTCACTTGCCATTCCTGCCACCTGTCCCTTTGTCAACAAAGTGTGCAGTTGCAGTGAATCCGTAGTCGTAGGGCAATCTCTAATGGATCAACGCCAGCAGGGAGAAGAGCTGGAGTGGAGAAAAATCACGGAGTGAGTTACTGGAAGCCAACGAATACCCACATCAAGACATTCAGTGGCAATAAAGACAGCAGAGAAATCAACTGGAGGCAGGGAGAATCCGTGGAAGAAACCAAATCAATCCATTCTCAATCTCTTTCATCAATGATGCACTGACCGCTCGGGGTTTCTCACCGTGTTCGTCGGTTTAGTCCAGATGTTCGTCTTCTTTTCACGTCTGGTCCGTCATTGAAGTACAAACTTGTCCGTTTGTCGTTTGGTACGCGTATGTGTCCGCGTGATGTGCAGCATGCGAGGGTGAAGCGTGGCCCAGGCAGGCCAATGGTGTGCAGAGCATGCAATGTGGATGTGAAGAGCAGTGAGTGTATGATGAAGAATGTAGTCCATTGTATTTCATGTACACAGTTTGAAGAGCTCTATGTCGGGGAAACCGAGCATCCAGTGAGGGAATGATTCACGGAACATTATCGAGAGGCAAGGGTGAGGGCAGTGAAGACTCCCTAGGTAGGCCATTACAAGTCCGACCATTGAGAATTCGCAACATCATCTCCCAACTTCTAGCTTTTCCATCGCACCTAGATTCTCGGCAGAGAGTCTTCACTGTCTTCGCACAAGTACTAGTAGATGGAAGCGACAGAAAGCCAGCAATCAACTATGACAGTGGATGGAGACTATCGGTGTGAAACCATCAAAATTACAGGACCTTTGATAGGTACGGGGCACAAGACCATCTCATCATTCTTACGGATGCAATTACCACTTGCGAGACTCACATGCACACAAACATGTCACGTACACACACACACACACACACACACACACACACACACACACACACACACACTCTCTCTCTCCCTAATGAACTTTCGGGCCTCTACATCTTCACGCCTGATTTTGGGATTGCACAAGCTGAGATACACACTTCATGCTGACTCTTCAACACCTGACTTGAGATAGTGCAAGCTCAGACACTTTATGTTAGACATCTCTTCACCGTTCACGGAAGTTCTATTGCGGCCTGGCGTGAGATATTGTAGGTAGTTCTTTGAATATGTGACCTGATGGTCTACAGCATTTGTCTCAGTTCTCAGCAACTATGGTATTCTTGTTATATTATCACGTTATCATTACCTTTTTTATAGTTATATTGTTTATGCTCGCAGGAGTCACATATATCCCTGATCTGATGATACCCTCTTGGGGAACATTTTTGAAAGCCTGATTTGGAGAGAGTTGGAGAGATTGGGAATTTTTTGTGTAGCCAAGGACTTGGTGCGGCTACATGCTTTGACGAGGCTACAGAGGGCTTACGCCATACTTGTAGATGACTTTCAAATTATACAGTTGAGGAAACCGGAATTAAGTTTTTCCTCGTTCCGTAGTTGGTGTACTAGAATTCTTGTCTCCGAGGAGACCTTCTGGCAACTGTATAATCAACGTTTCCCTATCGTGCATTCTGTACGCTCCTGGAGGCAAGTTTTGGGCAAACAAATGCAAGCTCAGAACACCTCCGGCCGCATCGGGGTTTCATCCTTCTTGGGTCAAACTACTTAGTAACTACGACCTGGAAGCAAAACAGGAACTACCCCGATACTGTATTACCTCAGACCTACACGTATGTAATCCTAATCCCAACTCTAACCATACACCCATCTGCCACCCATGCAACCCACACCACACTATGTCCATATGGCAGGTCGATATCAACAGCAGACTTCAACATCTGACTATTCATCCGTAGGCTGCTACCACACTATAGGCTAGCAGGTCGATATCAACAGCAGACTTCAACATCTGACTCTTCATCCGTAGGCTGCTCCGAGAGAGACTCGTCTCGTAGTCGTTTCATCCCTGAATGCAAAATTTCACTCTACTGTGACAATGTCCGCCGGATGTGACTGACAACAGACAGTAGACTACTACAGGACTGGTATAAATACCGGCAACAGTCTTGCCCGGTATTAGTATTACTATGATGATAATTATATTATTTACAGAAGTGTACTACCGGTAATTGATAAGCTTACCCGCTGTTCCATGGCCAGGAAACACGAGAGAGCCGAATATCGACACGACTATCAGCACCACCGTCCGACGAGTAGCGTTCGCCATAGGCTGGCCAAGACCACCGAGACTGAGACTTTTTCGGCCGCGGAAAGACTCCATCTTCGAGGTCGAGGACACAGCAGATTGACTCCGTGTAATAGCAGTCTACCAATAATTAATCCGTATTGCAGGGGCACTCTCCAGGAGCATATCGGCTACCCTCCACTCCAGGCCACATCGCTCTCTGTATGTGCAAGCGGGAACGCTGCGAACAGAATTTCAAAACATGACAAGTACAGTTTGCCGGCTCTTCGAAAAGAGATGAAGACCAGACTGAAGGAGGGAGAGAGGACGACTGACTACACATGGTCTGCAGGAGTGCAGAGGCGTGTGAACCACGCACAATGGCCATGTCGAACTGCGAATATCTGCGTGTACATGTACATGTATGTAACATTGTTACTTACCAGCCGCTTGGCAGGGCCATGGGATATGTAGCCCAGACAAAACAAGTCTGCTCGCCGCTATCACTTTCTTGCATGACAGCGCAGACGTTCTGGAGAGCTTTGTGGTTCGTCGAGCACCACGGAATACGATGGAGCAAACACACAGAGAGCAAACTACGTAGATCTGCACAGACGGGGGCTTTTATAGAATGTACTGAGTCTGTGTAGAAACTCGTCGTGAGTTTCAGGCAAGTCCCCATTGGTCCTAGCCACAGACCTGATAGACATGACAGAGAGTGAGAGAGTGAGAGAGTGAGAGTGGTATCACTGCTTGGTGTGTGACGTTCACGGCTACGAAGTACACAGAAAATAACAGTCACAGGAACACAGCTTGAACTGTTGAACTGAAGCGGTGACAAAGCCAAAAATCCAAAGGGCCAGGGAAAAGCTAAATGTAGAGCATTCACTAAGCGCACACATTCTGTCGCAAATAGAGCCCGCCAACGCTAGAAAGCAAACTGTCGAACGAGTGAGTGGGTGCGAAGCTGCAAAGGATGTAAAAATTGTCGAGGAGCTAGGAGTCAGTACTAAGACTAGGACTAGGACTAGGAGTAGGAGTGAGCTAGACCTTTTCTACACTATCACATCGAACGAGCTGCGCTATAAAACAAAGCGCGAACGGCTGACCCCAAAACGGAAGGTTCTTTCGCACCCCACTGGCTAGCCCCAGGATCGTTCTTACGTGTCACATGTAGATCTACATGCTGTAGCGGCATTTTACAATGTTTTAGCGGCACATTATCATTATGGCCTAACATGGTCTGGGTTCGTCGAGGCGACTGTCACTCAGCTAGATGGCATTAAATTTTTGTTGTCTTGTAGATCTCAGCTCAGTACTACTACTAGCTCAACTCTTGTTTGTAACGGAATCCTACCCTGCTCTGGCTAGCCTAGAGTCTGCACTGCAGCACCAGGCCTCATTAATCATCACACCGTTTTGGGTTTTTTTTAATAATTATATTTTTCATTAATTATTTTTACTTCACCAGACACACTGCATGCACTATAGTATAAGGACCAGCCATGTCCCGAACCCATGACCAGGTAAACTGGTGCTCGAGTTGCACACATACGGGCAGGGACTAGACTGTGTACGAGTGATTCTGAATACGAGGCTCCCTTTATAATTATAGGCTTTACTGCCTGAAATCTAGCGAAAATACTCTTTGAGATCCACACCCTAAATGCCTAATGCGTCATGCATCATGATCTCAGATTGGCATACTCAAGCAGATTGCAATTGCTGTACAAAAAGTTGTATTATCAATGAGATGCATGATGACTGCCTCAGCACGAGACTTTGAGTTAGCCAATTGGACCCTCTCGCTCTCTTTTGTATGTAATCAATGAGATGTATGATCAACCGATATCATATTATTACACGACTGAACTCCAGGCACACTTTTAGGTCGAAAAATCTTTGACAAAATGGGGGAAAGAAGACTTGAAAGTTGAAAGAACTTTCATTAGAGACAGTCCAGTCGCAGGGAATAGAGTTGAATAGAAAATTTCTCACATGTGTACCAGTGTAGAGTACACGGGTCAATCCCTTATATTATGGTAGTCGAGTTACGGAAATAATGCAAAGTATTTGTGTACTTTCTCGGAGTCCAGTGTCTGAATACGCCTGTGACTGTTTCTAAGCATGTACAAGTGGCATGATCATGTGCACTTCAGTTCCAGCATGTTGCTTTTACTAGGTCAACCGTGACTGGCCCGGGGATGACATCATGCATAGCTTTGGATTACATCATGCATTCTCAACGTCATCCAACGCTATGATAGTTATGTCACACGAGTGCCTCATGGGTCGCATCCCTTGGCACCCTGTGCGTCGCAGGCGCACAGCTTGCACACGCAGGATGATGCTCTGGCTACGGGAGTCGCGACCAGGCCGCTGGAGCACAGAATGTGAACGTGTATGGTCTCAGTTCTCGCCGGCACACAGCATCGGCACTCATTGACATAGTATGGCTGCGTTGTTATGGCCCTCACACTGTTCAAGCAGTCTCCTTGACAAATTGTCGAGTTATTGTAGTGGTATTTTTTGCAGTTTGGCTTGGCGATAACCTGTGCACAAACCAGCAGTGGGAGGCAAAGCAAGACACCGCAATACCAGATTGAGTTTTATTCAGCAACAGGGACTTGAACAGTGTAGTACAGTACCAGTTGGTTTGCTGTGCACAGTCCTCCTGGCCACCACTGCAATGCATCTGAAGGAGTCCTTACCCCCCCCCCCCCCCCCCCCATAGCTAATACCAAGAGTACATAGCCCCCAAGAGTGTGCAACCGCCTGCACGACCTCTATGCAGTGCTGCGACGGCAGAACGTTACTTCACATCACGTAACATGGCTCAAAAGGTTGCGCTGGCAAACAGTGCAAAGTGACCACAAGAGAGTTGTACCCAAAGCTGGGTAGCGCACAAACCTGTCACGATCTATCCTGCACAGGGTGCAAACATGTGTACGGGGTTCGTCGCGTGGAGTTCCACACTCTTCGGGGTTATGTACTCTTGTTAATACACAGTGCCCGAGAACAAGTATGGGGAGAGGTACTCAGAACGGAAGTTAGTAAATTCGTGCTACAAGCCGATATAACCTGGCGCAGTGGTAAATATTGGTTTTGCTACTGATAGGGGTAGGTGGAGTTTATCATAATTATACTGTAAGGGGCCGTCCGTAAATATCGAACTTTTTTCACCAAACGAATTATTTTAGTTTAGACCCAACCCCTCCCTCCCTCCCCCTCAGAACGTAAAAAATGTTGACATACGCGATATATACAATGGCCATGTACATGAATCAATGTTTTCTGAAACGAAATTGGTCAACCCCCTCCCATGGCCCACCCTATAACGAAATCATTTCGTTTTGTGAAAAAAGTTCGATATTTATGGACGACCCCTAAGTGAACAAGGACTCTAAGAGGGGAACATAGAGTGAAACCTGTCTAAGGCGACCGGCCTCTCAAGGGACGAGAAAAAGTGGTCGCCGTGGCCAGGTGGTCTTCTTATCCAGGTTCAGTGGGTCACGTGACCATAGCCCAGTGCACACCTTCTATGCTACTCTAGCACGACTCCTGGCCTGGGGTCCTCAGACCTGTCAAGTGTCGTGCATGCACCATGCGCATCTACACTTCCTGCACTGATGTGTAGAACTACCATGCATGGTGCACCATGCAATGCGTACATTTACATGTACTAGCACTATGCAACGCGGGTGGGTGGTCATTGGTCGCAAGGAAATGTGGTCGCCATGGTCGAGTGGTCGCCATATCCGAGTGGTCTCCATTACATGTTTTACTGTAATTATTAGCAGGCGAAGAGACAGAGACATTTCAACCTGATGAGGCCATTACTTCTCAAAGCTGTACATTGGGGGTTGATTCACATGGCTTCCGAACAGTTGTGTGGATTGGGCAGTTATCTGGTACTCGTCTTGACCTTTTGTTGGTTTATCTAATACCATAGTCTTGACCTGTGTCAAACAGATCTTGTCCACTATCATTGCCATAACAGAAAATCTATGGGTGTACATCCAGTGTATTCTGGGAATGTACTTCTCTTGCTGATGGTTGTATACATAGTGCAGTACTGTCAGTAGCACGAAAACTACTTTAACTACTTTAAAATAATTATATCACTTTTTTTTAAATGCCTCAACCAATGCATACTGACCATGCACCAAACATGATGATGCTTGCTGTGGAGACTGGGGCCATAGGGGCATTGGAGCAAACTGTGGGGTATTCTGCTGATGGTGAGGGTGTTCTGCTGATGATGATGGGGGTGTTTTGCTGAGGGTGGTGGTGTGTTTATCTGATGGTGCCACTGGATGTAGAAGAACAGTGGAGGCGTACTGGTTGAACAATTAGCCTCATGAGAAGGTCATATTTGTTAGCAGTGCACCTGGTGCATGTGCCACTAACATGTAGATAGGAGCAGGACCTAACACTACTGTGCTGGAATACTCCATCTCTGCAGTGGTGCATTTGTACTTGCATGAATCTGTAGCCTTACATAGTGTCAGGGGCGTAGCACCCGCTACGACTGGTACGACCATGGCCGTACCACTTTTCGAAAAGTGTGGTCCGTCCGGAACGTGCAAAACCGAAATAAAAAAAATCAGGATCCATCGATGCATATATGCGCATCAGACTTTGACCTTTTTTCTAGACTCTTACTCGTAGATCTGTTAAGACTGTTATGCATCTGCAGTCGTACTGAGTACCGACACTACTGTACTCGACTCGACTGCACACTGCGCCAGAAGTTCCCAGAACGCAGGATTTTGTGTCTTTTTTACAAAATTTTCCCAGGGGAGGTCCCCGGACCCCCCTCCAACACGGCCTTCGGCCACACCGACCTTTGGTCGTACCACTTCCAAAAACCCTCCTACGCCCCTGAGTGTGTAGTATGTCACGCATGACCGCATGACTAAATCCAGTGTGCATTGATACCCTTTTCTGCTGGCTCCAGTATGGTGGGGCAGTTTTCAGTCATTCACCAATCAATGCATTTGTCACCGCTACTGCTACCGCACTCTTTTGTTTTTCCCGCACCTGTTACTGCACTGCACTTCCTTGCTTTTCTGCTCTCCGTGTCTCTTTGCATCGCTGCACTTTGGCTGGCGCTGCTTGCAAGCAGCTCCTTTATATTCACATGTTCCGTGCTTTATTTGTTTGATTTAGAAATGTAGAGTTTGTTTGTTTGTTAAAAAGTTACTTAGACCTACTGATGTAGAGTAAGACCTACGAGAGTTAGAGTCAGTTTAGAGTTTGCCCGCGCTGCTTGTAATTGTTGTTTCACAGCTCAGAGTTTTGCTTGTATTTTCAGAGTTTCTTGGCTCACAGATGTCCCTCGTTCTTCACAGTATATCAGTTTGTTCTCTACAGTGAGATTCAGTACCAGAGTTTAACAACTACAGTCAGTTACTGTACTACATTGCTACTGTGCAGCACAAGAATGTGTTACTGGCATTCTTAGACTTTGTGTCTATAATTATTATTATCTATGATGCTGTACAGCATTGGGTATGATGCTGTACAGCATTGGGTATGACGCTGTACAGCATTGGGTATGATGCTACACGTACTCTATTATAACAACGGTTACTACAGTGAAACCTGTGCTTGCCAGACCTGTACCAAGCCCAATGCTTGCCAGACCTGTACCAAGCCCAATGCTTGCCAGACCTGTACCAAGCCCAATGCTTGCCAGACCTGTACCAAGCCCAATGCTTGCCAGACCTGTACCAAGCCCAATGCTTGCCAGACCTGTACCAAGCCCAATGCTTGCCAGACCTGTACCAAGCCCAATGCTTGCCAGACCTGTACCAAGCCCAATGCTTGCCAGACCTGTACCAAGCCCAATGCTTGCCAGACCTGTACCAAGCCCAATGCTTGCCAGACCTGTACCAAGCCCAATGCTTGCCAGACCTGTACCAAGCCCAATGCTTGCCAGACCTGTACCAAGCCCAATGCTTGCCAGACCTGTACCAAGCCCAATGCTTGCCAGACCTGTACCAAGCCCAATGCTTGCCAGACCTGTACCAAGCCCAATGCTTGCCAGACCTGTACCAAGCCCAATGCTTGCCAGACCTGTACCAAGCCCAATGCTTGCCAGACCTGTACCAAGCCCAATGCTTGCCAGACCTGTACCAAGCCCAATGCTTGCCAGACCTGTACCAAGCCCAATGCTTGCCAGACCTGTACCAAGCCCAATGCTTGCCAGACCTGTACCAAGCCCAATGCTTGCCAGACCTGTACCAAGCCCAATGCTTGCCAGACCTGTACCAAGCCCAATGCTGCATTGACAGGACAACATTTCATGCACCAAAGTGCTGTGGATCGAACATGCATCCCTGGATTCAAGCGGAATCCCGTCATATCAGGACAGTTTCTGCTGCACCAGGCCAAGGGCGTCCGGTCAAGGTAGGTTTGACTGCAGTGGGATGTATATGGCTGTATGCATGGCTGGGTGCATGGCTGTATGCATGACTGGGTGCATGGCTGTATGCATGGCTGTATGCATGGCTGTATGCATGGCTGTATGCATGGCTGTATGCATGGCTGTATGCATGGCTGTATGCATGGCTGGGTGTAGTAGTAGTACTAGTAGAACTTATTATTTTACTAGGGAACTCCCAACAGGCGTTGCCTTTTTATTGGGAACCCTAGGAATGACTTGGTGCTTGTGACAAATGCAGAAAAGGGCTTAGATTGACGACATCGAGGTGGAAGCATGTTCCATCTGTCTGCTGCAAGTCTATCTAGGAGGACCACTGCTCATCAACAGCAACACCACCTGCTTACCTGCAAGATATTCGCTTTCAGATGGCACTGGATGCTTGCAGCCGCTGGCGGTGCTTGCTGCAGTACAAGCAGTAGCAGCACGACCGCCAGCACGGGAAGAGCCATCTGACGCACTGACGCTGCGCCTGTGAATGAAGCCAGGCCACTTGACCGCCTGCACATGGTGTAGCGCTGAGAGTGGGACGTTGTCCGCCGTTCGTCTCCAGCCATGACGCCACAAGGCAGAATCCTGTCTGCACTGCAGTTTGTAGATCTAGGAGGGAAACAGTGATTCGCTGAGCGGCCGGTAGTAAACAAGACACTTGCTTCGACGCCAGCAACTGGAATAGATACAGAACAGATGCACGGATGATCCTATTACAGTTTAGACGATGCTCTATACCAACCAGTCGACAACTGAGCTCTTCAGGTGGAGCACGCTGGCTTTTATAGGCTCGAGAAGTTTGGTGACCATGGAAGAACTATTCCAGCTGGTGGTCGCTCGCGAATAGTAGGTGTAATGGACAAAGGTTGTAGCGAAGGTACTGCACGAACTGAATAGAATGACAAATCGACTGATTATTGATACTGATCGTGATAGGTTCGTTGTGTTTACATTTACAGTCCCTGATCGGGTCATGCAGATGACTGGCTTCGGGCTGCAGTACACGCTAGGCTAGCAGCAGTAGTTCAGCCCACACTGGCCGTCGCGACGGTCGAGCAAGCACTGCGGTGGTGTTCACACTCGCTTCCTAGTCCTAGATCCTGTCGACCTTCAAAAACAATTCGGGAAAATAATTAGACGTGCTAAGGTCAGAGAGCATTTGCGTTGTGCGGTAGTCTACCGCGCTGCCTGCGTGGCTGCAGCAGGCACAGCGGATGAAGATGAGACGTAGCACTCTCCCAAACACCAAAACTAGCTGTGCAAGGTCTCGCATTCAATGCTGATCGCAGAGATAGATAACCTGCTGTCAACTGGCCGTAGTTGCATGAAACGGCCAGGCCAACGCCAGTAGAACACGACGAAAACAGAACTCATATAATTAATTCAAAGTGGGGGCAGAGCAACACGCCTCGACTGGAGTCACGTAATGACAACGAATGTTTTCATAATCACGCCAAGTCTAAACTGACTCAATGTTCAACTGTGTTTTCTTTCGGTTCGTTGGCAACAGCAGCAGGACACGTACCATTGGTGAAGAAGGCACGACTCAATGCAGGCATAGTTCACTGGCACTGCCGCTATCCCCTACACAGTGTAGCATTGAATGACTATTTCGCCTGTCCAATGCCTGCACGTTCCGCAGGAAATGTGTGAAGTAATGAAAAGGCTCTTGCAACACTGCCACCACCACACTGGACAGAAAGATTCGCCAGGCATGTTGGGTGTTGGCAGTCTTCAGACCACTGTCACATATTCGACTCAGTCAGTGCTCCAGTCTAGAGACAACCTCAAAATAGTACAATACCGGGATCCTGTCTGCTGTCGCCAGGAATCTGTTTAGTCGGAGGCAGATTTGAGCAAGGTCGGTGCAGAATATAAAGTATCGGATGTCTGGTTAGCCCACCTCCCCGGCATACCACTAGTACAATCATGTAGCCTATTGTAGGCAGGCTAGGCCGGCTCTTGTTGTGATCTGGTCGACCATGTAGAGTCTACCAATACCATGCCATGGGCGACGGGAAAGTTCCAAAGCTAGCCACGTGCATGCACACGTCGGGGAATCCCTATGCGTTTCACGCGTTGGGCACGAGATCTAGTTGACACTTATGACGTCAGCGGTGACAAGATGCTTTCCGATCCATCACGCCGCCACGTCCGCGTCGCCGCGGACATACATAAACGGTAGTCACGGGAATCCGCGATTTGCTTGGGAATCCGCGATTTGCTTGGGAAGCCGCGATTTGCTTGGGAATCCGCGATTTGCTCGTCGGCTTCGGTTCTGGAATCTGTGCGATTGTAGTCCTGGTAGACTACTAGTACTAGTATGTGTGTAGAAGAAACCCGCTGATTGGCAGGTACTAGGTACATGTATCCGAATATTCGATGGCATGGATGCCACAACAAAAAATGCAACGACACCTGCGACGTAGCATGTACTTGTAAGTACATGTAATTAGTTGTAGGACCACTGCCACCAGAGTCACCAATCCTGACCTGCATCCAAGCTCTGAGACAAGGTAGCCCAGTACTACCGAGGAGAATAATAATCATGTGCAATGTAATGGAGAGCAGAGCTCCTGAGTATCTAGTCGATGTAAACCTTCCTCGCGGAATCCCTGCAACCTGGGCCCGGGCGAGTGACTATTCTTGGTCACAATGCATGGTGTCGGTCTCCCATTCCCAAGGGACACGTCAACAATGTTCCATAGGACCATAGCCACCATAGCCACCGTACGTACCACCATCACCCCAGCCCCAGGCCAGGCAGGGAAAACAACTGCATTGTCATCGAACGACGTGAGTTCTTGTAATAATGTAAGTACAGTCATGTAGTTAGTTCTGGCCGATCTGTTCTGTCTGTAGCCATGCATGGTAGCTGGCTGACGCCACTGGCACTGCTCGTAGTGCATCGTACTCGTAGAGACTGAACTGTGAACATCATGACACGGCATATGGTTACCATGATTACCGAGGTCCTCCCTAATAATAATAATGATACGCGTCGCCTCTGATCACTGCTGATCCCTTGGCCCTCTTCGTGAAGAGAGGAAAGACTATGTCGTCAAACCTGGCACCATGACAACACGATGTATAAGTATAAGCACACATCATCGTCATGTGCGTGGATACCAACATATTATCGTCATTGTAATTATTTTGTATTTGTAAGTAAATTTAGTTGTAGGAGTAGGATTGTCACTGAAGCAGTGCTAAAAGCTTGTGTGTTGTGAAGCGCACAACTCAGTACTCACTGAGGGAAACGCGTCATAACCCAGCAGCGCTTCGCTTGAAAAAAAAAACCCGCTGTTGTGTAGTCGCACCCGGACTAGACCCGTGCATGTACATAATAAATTATTATTGTGATCTTCCTCGCCTCCCTATGACTATGAGGTGACAGCGTTGCGAATGACCGAGGGTCCTCGACGTCTGTCTCACCGTCCAGGACTCCGGCAGGAGCGACACTGACTCACGCTGCTATCTGGTGTTCACGAGGTGTTTGTCGCGCTGGAAACGGAGCGTCTCTGTAAGTTTGTATCCCTGGTGATGTTTGTGCCTGGAGAGCACTATAAGTATAAGTGGTATGGTGCTCTTCAGGCACAATCTTCCTCAGCCTACTCAAGCTCAACTGATGAGGGGTGAATTCCCCGAAACACTGTGTATTGAGCAGGGAGTGGTGCTTTCTTGCAGGTTTGCCGAGTCGAAGGTTCGATGGACTTCTCGTGTGCTCTGGATGGCAGTCGTGAGTCAGTCAAGTGTCAAGTAACGTCGGCGGAATAGCGCGAGCTCCGGTGTGGGGAGCAAACCCTTTCTTCCTCGCCTCCCTCCCTATGTTCAAAAAATGCTTGGCATTCCTGTCGCATGTTTGCACCTTGGAAATGCGAATTCGAAAACACAACAACTACATGTACATACACACGTACTACATTGTAGTATTTTGCATACTGCCCAGTGGTATTGAAATCGGGGCGGCAAACATCTATCTAAAAGTACATGACATTGTCACCATTACGCACAGTCTGTCGACATGTCGCTGAGATCACACAGACAGAATGAAGAAAGCAACCACGGAGCAGCTGCTGCTGGGGGAACTCCCCCTAAGCTGTTATTGTCTTTGGTGAGAGGTCCAGGCGCTTTTCCTGCCTAGCAGGAGGAAACGGCACCTCTCACTCTCAGCATCACTGCCAACATACTTTACTTTATTATTAATATTCACGCTTCACATCCAGCATAGCTGTAACCATGACATCAGCAGTATTATTATCATTATTGATTGGAATTTGCAACCTACATGTAGATCTACATGACTGTACGTGCCACAGGCACAGGCACAGGCACAGGCACCGCGTTGTTGTATGCTAGCGCTACACTACTGATAGTTATACACAATCCTGTAATGACCTGTGTACATGTACGTGCGTGTACAGGATCGGAACCATCAGCATGAGCATGAATGTGACGTTGGAAGCTATTTTACCAAGACTTGGCAAGACTGCCAAGAGTCAAGACTCCATAACCAGTGATAACCCAAAGCAGGGGGGGGGGGGGAACTCCTGATTTTTCCTGTAAGCTGCATGATGCACAATGTCTATTGTAGGTACAGTACCACAGTGAATTGCAGTGCACACATCAAACACAAAAAAACATGAGAGCTGAACTAACTAACTTGTCTCTTGCCTTCTTGGATACATTACAAATTTTAATGCTAATACTAATACTAGATAACATGCCCTACCAACGGGTGAACGCTTGCAAGTTGCAACCATTGGTAGACAGGTGACAGCCAATCAAGTTATGTAGCATCAATCCACTAACTGTCCAGTTGAGTCATCTATTCGCAATGACAAACACTTGTTGGCAGTGCGCGCCAGTGGACAGGGATGACCGGGCCATGCATTTCTCGTGACAAATAACCAGTGCTTTCACGAACACCTGCGTTATTGGTAATAGTTGTTTGCAATGCAAAGGAACGTCTGAAGTCGTAGGTTAAAAAATGGTTGACACGCCAACATGGTAGTGATCGTGACACGAACAAGAAAAGGGTAAAATAATAATTGTAAAGAGATAAAAAACTGGAAAACAGTTTAATCAACAGCAATATTCAGCGTGACCTAGGAAACATGTAGCACAGTTATGCGTTTAAAGCAGCTTCATGGTATCATTGAAAATAGAATTTGTCCTCCAAAATAATGTAGTTAGAAAATTGAAATGAGAAACATGGTCCTGCATGCATAGGGAACGCTATAAAAATCGTCAAGAATTGGATTAGGCTCTAGAGTTTTAGCACGTATAGATTGGAAGATGTCATGGAGCTTGAGTAGGTTGCAGATATGCAAGATCTTTCATGTCTAGGTCTCGTAGGTAGGAATCTATGGCTCCGGTTGGGAAAGCAGACACGGAAGTGGCAGCTCGGCTGCGGGTTGAGAATGCTACGCTGGTCTGCGTGTAGCTTGCCGTGCCGGTATCACACCGTGACCTCTAGGTAGTTCTCACGGCTATCTGCCCGTAGTTGGCCGTGTTGGGTGAGAAGGCCGTGCACCAAACCCTGCTCACTCTCTGCCACACTGAAGACTCTCAGTGTCTGGGATGGGCGTCCTCAGTGTAAAAGGAAGCATGCTATGCTTCAAACAGAAGAGAGATACGGCGGAGAGAGTGATGGCAATAATATGGCAATGGTGTGCCGTGCAAACACCCTGTTTGGTGGCGGAATTCACAAATCCGTAGCTGGACCATGATCCATGGAAGAGAACACGGAGCCACGCTCTCGTTCACGTGAGTCGTTGCTCGCCACCGTTCTTGATCTGCCGCTGCGACCGGCAGCAGGGCCTGCGTGGCCTTGGCCGCGGCTGCTATTGGAGCGCACACGATTGGTCCGGTCGGTATCGTACAGGTCGCCACTGCGTAGCGCAGACACCAGGTCATCAAACTCACCGGCCGCCTTTGCCGCCTGCCGGGCTTTGCGCACCTCCTTGCGTTCCTGCTCCTTCTTCTTGGCCTGCACGTGCAATATGCAAGATGAGAATACAGGTAAGCACGTGTGTGTGTGTGTGTGTGTGTGTGTGTGTGTGTGTGTGTGTGTGTGTGTGTGTGTGTGTGTGTGTGTGTGTGTGTGTGTGTTGAAAGACCAAGTCGGGTGACATGAATGCAGGGAGACTCATATGCCGCTGTGTCGAATTTGTGTAGCTAATGTTAGGCACAGGTCCATATACGTGGATTAAGACCACAAATTGTGTGGCATATCGACCACCCACAGGCGATGAAGTATTGGGTTCTGACCATGATTGAGAAGCACAGTGGATGCGCAAAGTCTGGCAGCCATTTTGACAGTAAAGTTTGATGGACGTACAACTCACATTGGCGACAGTCACTTTCCAGAAAACTGTTTGTGAACACAAGCTATCTTGTCAAAGTGTGTTCTATGGCCAGACTCGATTAAACCAAGCAACCATGCGATCTATCTGTTGCCCTCATCGAAGTGCATCAATTTTTCATGTCTAACTGTTCATGTTGAAGAGGAGGCCCGCAAGTCTGGATGGTTCACAGTCGACTTTGAAATTCACCCTACTTCTGCCAATTGCCAACCACTCCCCCCCCCCCCCCCCAATCACCACAAATGCACTGCAACGTCATGTTCCATGTCACGGTGCCTGCACCAGTTTTCATTGCCAAAAGTGGTTTGTCGTCGTAACTTGGCACGACTGAGGGCAACACACATGTGACAAATGGGTTTAGGCCCTTACTAGTGTGCCAGTGGTTGTTAGACTCATCTCCTCAACCCCGCTACTACGCATCACATCTGTCAATTGAACATAACCATAGGTGGCATCAGTCCGATCTGATCGATGACGGTGTGATAGACCTGACCCGATGCCAATGTGGATAGACAGATACTAGTTTGCAAAATACATCAGCAATGACATGTGATCACACAGCAGCCGTAACTATCAACATCTTTCACATGTATGTATTACCTCATCTTGCAAACGTTGCCGCCTTTCTTCGTCTTGCTTCTTCTTGATAGCATCCAGGTTTTCTTGATGTGCATCCTACACAGAACGAAAGCATCCAAATCAGATACGGTACAACAGAGGCATGGGCCGGGCAGGGACGGAAAGAGACGTGACCGAAGCATCAGTATGCAACACAGGTGCCAGGGTACGTTGCGAACTGTGCCTAACTGCATGCAGAAGCCAAGTTCTGTGTTATACTTTCCCAAGTCTTCCTTTCCCTCATTATATTTTCAAGCCAACGTTAGTTTTCCAGTAGTAATGTGAATACATAGTTCTATGCAACCTAGACTATCTCACCACAGTGGGACACTGCCTAGTACATTGCCCAGCAATATGTTTCTGTTTAGCATGCTCTATAGATATCATGACTCCGTAAGAAGGCACTGCAACAAGTGGCAGGAGGGGCTCTACCCCTTGATCCCTGAGGGATACACCGCTGCACCAGCCACGGACCCACCTGGAAACCCCACACCACACCCTTCTAGCTAGATGACTGCCCAGTTTTACGGTACGGAAAGGCTTCACGCAGGTCTGGATTCCCACCTGCAGAGCTGTGCTTAGCCAGCACACGTGCAGGGGGATGCCTGCATTGCTGCCAACTTGGAAATGGACAGCTGCATGGAGAGGCAGCAACTGGTTCCTGACCATGACTACCTGAAATTACCCTGGGATTGGTGGAAGACTCAGCCAGGGCACTTCTGAAGAACAGGCTGACCTTCACTTGGCATCCCAGTGCAGGGTTGAATTTGGGAGATTTCAGTGTATACTGTTACGTGTATGTGGACTCTGAATGACCATTACCCGTAACTCTGGCACTAGGATGGCAGAACAAACCGACCCACAGCCAACACAACAGTTACACACCATGTATGAATGCTTGTACAGTGCATGTAAGTTACTCACATTAAACGAATGCAGGAAAGAGCTGAAGTGACCAAAGAACTCGTCGCTCGGTGTTTTGCTGCTCTCACCGAAGCAAGCCAGCGCAGCCGAGTACTGGAGAGAAAGAGAAGCAAGGAAAGCAGACCGTGACAGTCCCAGTCACATACGAGGGTAGACACCCCACCCCATGCACAGACACACGTACATGTACAGACACACATACATGCATGCTTATTACCGATAATTGAACAGGATCATGTCACTGTAGTGGCACCCTTAGCTATTGTGTGACTCAAGGCATGGTGTGCACTGAGAAGAATGAACAACATTGTCCATCCAGTGGCAAAATCAACAGTGGGAGACAAATTCTACTTCTTATCTTTTCTTATCTAACACTAGCTCTTCGAAGTAGAAATTTTGCTAAACGATACCATCAGTTGCCAGTGACTGTCGTCACGTTGTCCTTCTACTAAACGTCTTTTCTTTATGTGTCATCCCTGTAAACTATGTGTAAGCTCATCATCAACACAAAAATGTCATGCCTCGTCTAAACACGAGTTCCTGGCTCGCTTACGTCTTCCTAATGCAACAGCATCAATAACATAGCAGGATCGCAAGCTCTTTGCATGCTGCTTAGAATCAGATCGTGTTTGCTCACCTCCTTCTTCATGTCAGCCACCATATCCAAGAGCTCATCAACCTGCACCTTTGCTATGGACGCAAACTCTTCTGCCACATCGATGAAACGATCCCCAATGGCGCGCTCGGCTTGGTTTTTCTGGATAGCAATTGCCTGGTGAGAGCACAGTGTAGAAAGGATCATATACATGTAGGAGCCAGCGTGTGATACAAGGACTAGAACACAGGGTTTGATCTTCAGTGTTTCCACATCTCTATCCCATGGCAGCGGTACACTGGACTACGGTATGGTATAGTATAGCACTAAGCCTACTGTAAGACATGTTACTATAACGAGTCGCAAATTTATCGATTGTCCAAAATTCGTAGGTTAACGAGAAGATATGTTAACGATCTTGCAGTATTCCGGCATATCCACACACAACATATATGAAGCAGTACGGCCTCAACGGATCTTATTATAACGAAGAAATGTCATCCGTTAAAACGTTAGATTTACTTCCTCGTTATATATACATGTCTTACAGTATACTGAACTTAGCACATAACAGTTACATATAGCCGATACTAGTCCCAACAGGACAAGAAAGGCCGACGACTGTTCATCACTACTGTACTCCTACTCCTACATGCGTGTGTGTGTGGGGGGGGGGGGGCTGAACAGTGTGTGTGTGGGGGGGGGGGGGGGGGGGCTGAACATCTCGACCCAGCACTGCCACTTATAACGGAAATGCACTAGCAGGTAAGAAAATATCCTAGTCAATGTGATTATGAAAGGTACTCTTCATATTCTATCTATCATACTGGTGCTCAGTGTGCAGTGGTGATAATAGTGGTAGACATGGACACATTGAATACAGGAGTCTGCGTGTAAGCTGGCCAAGGAAGTCCATAAACGGTTGTCGATAAATTTGAATATCGCATTACCTTTTCAATTTCTTTCAGCCCCTTGCTAAGCGTAATTACGTCTCTCTCCACATCACTCATCCTGTATCCAAGTAAAACGAGGTGAAGAAGGTAATAAATTTCATTCAAAAACAATGCAAGTGTCGCGAATGCGATCGGATTTATTCGTAGTCACGAGCACAATGCATGTATATAACCAAGAATTCACAGCTACGTAGGTCTACGTATAGATGTATCCTTGTTCAGTGCATGATCTGTACGTTCAATCACTCGCATCCCTTTGTGACACCCTTTTTCTCACCTTGCACTCGTTTGTATATCTAAGGTTCAATTCTGGGCACCCTTTTTCTCACCTTGCACTTCGTTGCATTTCTAATGTTTCCGTTCCGGGCACCCTTTGATTCAGTTTGAACCCATGCACCTTGGCTTGCACACGCACCGACATCCAACACGGACTGTGTGTACGACTATCGGCATCTTTGATGGCCTTCACTATCCATTTTCATGCTCACAGTTGGACTCGTTGCACCGTGCGTATCTTTATGTGTCACCTTTTCAGCTACATGCACGTGGAGCTGTTTTAGTTCCACAACTTGGTGCTCTTCTTGCTTCTCTTTGATTCTTCGCTACTCCTTGGGAGCTTATTTCGATGCGTTTGTATATTTATCGCTTGTATATTTCTGCTGACGCTGTACGCAAGACACTTTCACGGCACACTACTGCTACAGGCATACACTCCGACTCACCTATATTATCGCTCTCCCCTTGTAAATATTGTTCAGTCTTGATTCACAAGAAAATTGGGCACTAAGGAAAATATGGTCTGCTTCGAGTGGTTTATGTAAAGGGTATGTCCATGGTTCGCGACATTTTGGTGCCGAAACCCGGGAGAGTCGAGCGGCGACTCTCCTAGTACAGGAATTTGAACGACCGACGAACCATGGAAAACCAAGCGGCGGTGAGGGGCAAGCGCCAAAAGGCTGCTCGTCACCACAAGACAATCAAAGATATGGAAACGACAACGGGTAGTTTCCTCTCGGCAATCTCAACGGACATTGAATCGGATCCAGCAGCAGTCAGAGAGCTATGTCAACACAATTTCCAATTGGACTCGCATCTCGAGGCACTCGAAATATCGCTGGAAAAGTATACTGATTTAATTAACAGGTACGAAATAAAAGGGTCTGACGACCAGGAATTCAAGGAAAATCAAACGGAATGGATCGAACAAATGGATGAATTTATACGTGTAACTAACATTAATTTGGTGTCACTAAAATTCTTACAAATGGAATGTCAAAAAAAGGATCCGCAACCTGCAGCCACGGCAATGGCGGCAGGAACTACAGCAACTATAATGGATGACGACAAACTCGACAGACTGCTGTCGGAAATGGTATCAATGAATCAAAGCAATCAGAGCATCATGACAAATTTGACGAATTCTCAGAGTAATGCTAGCAATAAAACTGGTAACACGGTCAAATTGCCTAAACTGGAATTGTTCACTTTTGATGGTGATGTAATGAAATTTAAGGAATTTCAAGATATGTTTACTGCCACTGTTCACGCAAATAAATCTTTGTCTGATGTGGAGAAGCTATCTTACCTGAAAACACACGTGAAAGGAAAAGCGCTGGAATGTATCTCTGGTTTGGCCCTGTCAAATTCAAATTACAAGGTTGCATGGGATTTGCTAATGGATCGGTTTGGGAAAGACCATGTTGTAATCAATGCTCGGTACTTGGCATTAGTCGATTTGGAGAAACCGTCTAGCCGACCTGAATCATTGCGGAAATTCTTGAATGACGTCGAGGCAAACATCAGAAGTCTAGGTGCGCTACATGAGGACATGTCACAGGCACTATTCATTCCACTGATTACCTCCAAATTACCGAAATCGGTTATGTCCCAATTAGAGTTAAAGAAAGGCACTACCACGAAATGGACAGTGCGAAGTCTACGTGAGGCAATGAACCACTACGTAGATGCAATGGAAGCAGCGGAAGCTGCAACTACCGGCGGAAACGAACGACAAAGGGACCGACCATCCAACCCAACGACACACGTAGCTCACTCAATGGCAGCAAACACGGTAAAAATGGAGCGTAAATGCATCTACTGCGGACAATCGCATTTCGCTGATGAGTGTACCAGGTACACAGATGCAGAAACCAGAAAAGATCAATTGAATGGACGGTGTTTCATTTGCCTGAAATCTGGTCACAGTGCAAGGGCATGTGAGCGCACTAAACCATGCTACTACTGTAAACGCACAACACACCATTGTAGTATCTGTCCGGAGAAATTTGGCGCAGGAAAAGTGTCATCCCAAATTCAATCCACAATGGGAGTGGCAATCGCAGATTGCAAAAACACGGTTTTGCAAACAGCAGTTACAATGGTGTCAAATGAAAGCGGAACCCAGGAATGCTATGCTCGGATTTTATTCGACACTGGGGCAACTAGATCCTTCATCACTGAATCCCTATGCCACAAACTGCACTGTAACAAGATTGGAGAGGACACAATCTCAGTGTCAAGCTTTGGTAACGAAAAACGGAAAATCGAAACCATGCCAAGAGTCAATCTACGAATTGAACAACCAGACAAATCTTGCACGGAGGTCTGCGCAAATGTCACATCAATCCTGTGTCACCCAATTCAACGATTCCCGCTTCCAAATGATATGAAGTTGCATGGCATGCCTCTTGCGGAACCACCTGTACAGGAACCAGAGAAGTGTGACGTGGACATACTGATTGGTGTAGATCACTATCACAGATTCATAATGGACGGCAGTATTGCACTGCAGAATGGCATGTGCATGGTAAAATCAACGTTCGGGTATTTACCATCAGGAAGTACGGAGTATCATGGAATTACGGATGATGCAGTACATGTACTCACTACGTTGCCAACGACAAGCCACGATCCAATGGAGGATACTCCTGTCACTGCTATTCTCGTGCAGGGGGAGGGTCCTGACGGATCACCAGCAGGCATGGACCCGGAACAATTCACGTCTTTCGGGAAACTAGTCAGAGTCACAGCGTACGTACAGAAATTTATTGATAAAATCCAAAAAAAATCGGTTGGCAATACCATCTCACGTGACGAATACCAACGAGCGGAATCGAAATGGATACAATTTACACAACCACAACACTGTTTGTCATGTAAACAGCACGATGGTGGCCCGTTTCAACTTCCGAAACCCCCTCCGGCATTTGCCCAAGGAAAGAATAATGGAGTTGCTACTGTATGAGTTCACAGGCATAGATTACGTTGGACCTATTGAGTTTTAAATCAAACGAAGGCTCGATGAAATGCAAACCATGATAATTACGGAAATGTATTGGTCGCAAATTGCTTTCACTCATGGACCTCATTACTCTACTAGCTGAAGTAGAAGGAGTCATTAATTCTCGACCTCTGACGTATGCTAGCGAGGAACTGAATGGTCTTGTAATCACCCCTGCTAGACTTCTAAACGTGAATGCCTGTCTCGGGATACCGCAAACCACCATCGATGTCACTGACCCCGATTTTGCAATATCGGTCAGCTCAGCAGAGTTTATGCTGCAGAAACTCGGTCAGCAAACAAATCAATTGGACATGTTTTGGAAACAATGGCGGGAAGAATACCTGACGTCGCTACGTGAGCGTGGAGACTCTGGTCTCAAACAGCAACGTACACTATCAAAGGAATCCCCATCCGTTGGCAGTATAGTACTGATAAAGGAACAGCTGCAACCAAGAAGTACTTGGCCACTCGGCAAGATCACGGAATTACACTTTAATCAGGATAAACAACCTACCTCAGCTACTGTTAGATTAACAGCTGGAAAGAGCATTGTCCGCCCGCTGTGTCTGTTGTTCCCAATTGAGTGTACAACACTAGAAACACCGGCAGAGCAGCCAGCAGAGCCAACGGCAGCATCGAATACATCAGTACCAGCCAGTGATCGACCGGTAAGGGCAGCGGCTGTGAGATCACGGCAAACCCTGCAGACCATGATCAACACTAATTCAGTCTGATACAAATAACTGTTTCCACTCAATTTTTCTCTTTCAACACTTCATTTCACAGTTGTAATTGTTCACTCACGCGTATGCTATTTCATAACTATGGTAGTAACTTTCAGCGGGCGGGAGTGTCGCGAATGCGATCGGATTTATTCGTAGTCACGAGCACAATGCATGTATATAACCAAGAATTCACAGCTACGTAGGTCTACGTATAGATGTATCCTTGTTCAGTGCATGATCTGTACGTTCAATCACTCGCATCCCTTTGTGACACCCTTTTTCTCACCTTGCACTCGTTTGTATATCTAAGGTTCAATTCTGGGCACCCTTTTTCTCACCTTGCACTTCGTTGCATTTCTAATGTTTCCGTTCCGGGCACCCTTTGATTCAGTTTGAACCCATGCACCTTGGCTTGCACACGCACCGACATCCAACACGGACTGTGTGTACGACTATCGGCATCTTTGATGGCCTTCACTATCCATTTTCATGCTCACAGTTGGACTCGTTGCACCGTGCGTATCTTTATGTGTCACCTTTTCAGCTACATGCACGTGGAGCTGTTTTAGTTCCACAACTTGGTGCTCTTCTTGCTTCTCTTTGATTCTTCGCTACTCCTTGGGAGCTTATTTCGATGCGTTTGTATATTTATCGCTTGTATATTTCTGCTGACGCTGTACGCAAGACACTTTCACGGCACACTACTGCTACAGGCATACACTCCGACTCACCTATATTATCGCTCTCCCCTTGTAAATATTGTTCAGTCTTGATTCACAAGAAAATTGGGCACTAAGGAAAATATGGTCTGCTTCGAGTGGTTTATGTAAAGGGTATGTCCATGGTTCGCGACAGCAAGTTACAAAAACCCGATCATTAAAATGTAGTATGCTCCACAATGCCTTTGGGACAAACTTTGATGTTTCACACAAGTGACACAACCAATTATAAATCGACCATTGATCACATAATACTTACTTCATACCACAGAGCTGTAGCAACAGTCTGGCTGGTCAGGTTTTGGATGAACTGCTTCTACTTGAAGTAGTTGGCAATGTGGTAAATTGAGCATTAGCAGCCATATTGGATATTTTTGGAAATCTGTTCAAACCATATGCAGGGGGAAGTATTCCGGCTGGCCATGGGCCGGACCATGCCAAGCATCTTTGCTACGGATCTGTTCTAAACGATTCCTTTGCATAGACAACAGTGCTGGATTCACATGCAATGGTGCACACCCATATTCGTGCAGAGGACAGTTTAACACTCCCGTGCAGCAGTGCACACCCAGATTCATGCCGAGCACAGTTCAGCATACACGTGCAATGGTGTACACACCCATACTGTTGTAGAGGACAGCGATTCAGCATTCACGTGCAACTGTGCACATCCCTACTAGTGACCACTTACACAATCTTCCGTGCCTCCATCACATTGCCAATCTCGACCTCCAGTCGCAGAAGATCCGGGAACTGGAGGGAATGTAGGCAGCACAGACAAACGAGGCTGTCGGTTACCTAAGACACAACGCTAGCGTTACTTTGCAACTGAAGAAACAACCCGAAATCAGTAGATGTATGTCTTATCCCGGCTCACTGTACATATTGTACTATGTACATTCCATCGTGAGTGTTGGCACAGGTACATTGTAATTCCAAGCCAATTCATACATTGGAAATGACCTGTACATGTTAACAAGAGCACTGGTAGATACAAGCAGTAGTGTAGATACGGATCATACCCGCCATGAGGTAGTAACACTGCACTGTGATAGCGCAAACATCACAGCGATGACAACATGCACTCAAACTCACCTTCTCCGCACACTGGGACAGCAGGAAGTGGAAGAGTGTCTGTCTGCTGCCATTGCTTGCCTTCGTATCGCTAATCTTGGTCAAGCTAGAGATCTCGAACCCTACATACATGCATGGCAATAGAACACATCAACTCATACGTATGCCTTAACCCATATACCCTCACCATATGTCCAAACTCATCTGCCATTTCCCATCTATCCTGGATAATAGTCTTCTTCCACATGCATATCGATTTTGTCAAGCACTGTACGCAGACTATCAGCAACATACTCACCAAAGGCATTGCTTCGGTTGCCTCTGTTCATGTAGTTTCCCAGCGCCAGGACCAACTCCAGAACGGTTTTCAGCTTGGGACTCGTCTGGATCTCCTGGCATGCTTGAGTGAATGCTGGACAGTAGGAAAAGTGAAGGTACATCACAGAGTGTTACTACAGTGCGCTCTTAGCTGCGACTGTGCTCACGCAACTGAAGTTACTCGACCGAGGCCAAGTCGATAATTTCTTTTTCCTCACCATCGTACAAAACGCATTGTGTACCTTGGACACCCTGTGAGAAGACATTCAGGTCTATGGGGATTGCCCAAGTTAATAATACAATGCATCTTCAATACAATACAAAACAGTTATAAGCCGGACAGATGCGAACAACAGCTCACTTTTCGTGATACTGGGATCATTCAACCGTGCACTGTGACATGCATTGAAATGTAGATATCAAACGCACATCACAATAAAGAATAAAGAGAAGTAGCTGCTAACGCCTAGTCAGTCATTTAACCATCCGTTTCTTTTCATTGTTGACGGACTATTCTCACCTTGAAGGCGCGGCCGAACTTCAGAGACGCGCTCCGGGAACTTGCGTTGGAAGAGCAGAGCATTTAGGCGCTGATCAAAATGGTCAATGCGAGAGATCTCATAGAAAAAGCGCTCGGCATGCGCAAAGCGTGCAATGTCATCCACATTGGCCTCAATCAGTTCTATCTCATCCGGTTGTGGCAGGAACTTGACGAGCTGAGAAATCACCACGACAACAGGGCAATGGCATATATGGTAGTGTCACACCAACACTAGCAGTGGTGTGTTGTGCTAGAGTTGTATGCCCAGTGCTTTTGCCGGAGGCATATTATGCAGATAGGAACCTCATGTGATCAGGGTGTTCACGTGGTCATCCCATGTAAAACGGCAGCTACTGCAGTGTTAAACAAATAGCCGTGTGCATGCTTCTTGGAGGTTGACACAGGGGAAAAAAACACAAGTGGCCGCAGGCGGATGCCATAGTCAGCGTTGGCAGAATGCCACGGTATATTCAAGGCTATTTGGGCTCAGTTCTGTCTAGGATATAGGCACTATGTTATCAATTGACACAGGAAGGAGTTGAATTTTGATTTCCACATGAGAAACTAAATATTTGGTGATAGCAGAGATATGTGCGCAACGGAGAAATGGTGATCCTGCCAGGCTGCAAACCTTTGGTTTTTAGAAATTCAGACGCAGTAACCATGCTGTAGGGGCTCAGCGTGGTGGTTTGTGGACGTTACTGTGAGAGAGTGAGTCTGTGCACAAAAATGATGTATGACTACGCGTCTGTGTGCATGTGCACGTGTGTGTGTGTGTGTGTGTGTGTGTGTGTGTGTGTGTGTGTGTGTGTGTGTGTGTGTGTGTGTGTGTGTGTGTGTGCATATGGTTGGTATGTGGTGTTTATGTGAGCGTATGATAATAATCTCTTTAATAATATTAATATCTTTATCTCAAGATTACCCAACGCCGGCGAACGCCTAACAGGTTGATCTCCTATTTGAACATGCGCATATGTGTGTGTATGATGTGCCCTAGCTCACTTATAATTATTATTATGTTATACACGTAGATCATGTCCATGATGCCTTTCCTCTGGCAAGGTCCACCGCACTATTGTTTTTAAGATTAACATAATTATTACTTCTGCATATGCATTACATACTATGATCATGCTGGCTCCATCCCTTATCTCCTAAGCTACCACCCCCCCCCCCCCCCCCCCCGTGCGTCTGCCCAGTGTTGACTCCGAGACCCACGGTCGGACGAGCTGCCCAGGCCTCACCACCACTGCCGTTTCTGTGCTGCCTTCTCGATACATACGTATGTACACTGTATATCATGTGCACATTCACGTGTCTGAAGGTTTGTGGTTTTTCAATAATAAAAAAATGTTCTTTATTGTCCAGCAGTGTTAGAGGATAGGAGTAGGTGACGGGAAAAGCACGAAAGATCCATTCTTCTTACCTGCTCCAAGACATCTTGGTCAAGGTCTTCATCCATTTGCAGAATCGCAAGACGGATTTCTTCGTTGTTCATTTTGATTCGGCTCAGCAGGATATTGCAATTCTGGAGGCAGGAAATAGGGTATGATGTAGAGAAGTCAGAATTGGCAAACCATTACCTTGTCAAGGGCTATTGAATGACAGGGTAGGTTACAAGTCCACACCAAGTGTTGCCAATTTTCACATTCAGAGGCACACTGGAAATCGCAACATTCACCAAAGTGTTCAATGCAATCTAGACACAGCATAGTCCGGCAAAGTGTTCAATACAATCTAGACACAGCATAGTCCGGCAAAGTGTTCAATGCAATCTAGACACAGCATAGTCCGGCAAAGTGTTCAATACAATCTAGACACAGCATAGTCCGGCAAAGTGTTCAATACAATCTAGACACAGCATAGTCCGGCAAAGTGTTCAATACAATCTAGACACAGCATAGTCCGGCAAAGTGTTCAATGCAATCTAGACACAGCATAGTCCGGCAAAGTGTTCAATACAATCTAGACACAGCATAGTCCGGCAAAGTGTTCAATACAATCTAGACACAGCATAGTCCGGCAAAGTGTTCAATGCAATCTAGACACAGCATAGTCCGGCAAAGTGTTCAATGCAATCTAGACACAGCATAGTCCGGCACAGCAAGAAAAAATGATTACTCCGTATCTGGCGTACCCTTGCTCGGTTTGGCTCCAGCAGAGTGACGGCTTCCTTCGCCTTGTTTTCATTTTGCTGTTCCTTGACATCGACCACCTGTGAAAGAGGAAAAGCCAAACAGCAGACATAGCAAGGTATTCATACACCAGGAGGCTTCACTCATCCTTCTTCACTAGTCTAATCCAGCAGAAAAGCTCACCACCAATACAAGACGCTGCTATGCTAGGAAGAGAGAAAGGAATGAGATGGAAGCGATGTCCCAGATGTGGTGTAGCCAGACCATGCCCAGCTCTGTGCCTGACTTGCGAAAATTGAATAGTGTCATGTTGCACTATGCCCCTGCAAACATGTATTAAATGTGTCAACGGTTAAACGAACAAATTGGGCAGTGGAAAAAGCCTTACAATAGCATGATCTTGGAGAATTTCTTGAACCAACTCGGCTAACAAAAGCAGCAAAATGCAGCACCCTGCAAGGAAATCTTACCATTTGCTTGACAGAAAAGGTGGACTGCAGCTCTTCCAAATTGAGGGAGTCGAAATGCTAGAGAAGAGGCAAGACCATAAGCAAGTAACAGCATCACTACCACATGAAACCCTCATGATGTTGAAGAGAATTGTTTTACTCGACATGAGATTATACGCATTGCATCGGGTTCCACTACCTTCCAATCCTGGGTGGCAGGACGCCAACGGTAAGCCATGCAGTTCTGGTGCAACACCGCACTGCACATCGACTACAATGTATATAGCAATGGCCTACAAAATGGTCGCAGAATGGCCACTAGCATACGGAGACTCTCTTGATCCAGGCCAATGCCTGTTGGAGAACTTACAAGCACAGAATACAGTATGAAGTCATTTTTGGCTCTCATGACCCGAAGCATCTTTGGCCTTAGCTCAGTGACACCGACTCAGGAACCTTACCCGCGTTTCATCAAGATCTTTCCACACGGTGCCATCCAGTTCGTTCTGCACACAGAGGCAGGGAGCGGACCAGTGGAAGGTGAAATACAGTGAAAGCCCTGACCCTATAATTACACACTTCATGCAGGTCTATCCTAACTGTATGACTGGAAGGTATAATTTTGGGTATGGCAAAGGGGCTAATCCATCTCGTCTACCGTTCACCTGTATCTGTTAAGATCACATTCGTACCTAAAGGAGAGCAGCCACACGTGCTAGCCAGTATTACTAGATGAATCAGTCAAATGACTTACATAGTCCAGCTTGGACCAGTTATAGGACTCACATAATCCAGCTTAGACCAGTTATAGGACTCACATACAATGTAGTCCAAATTGGACCAGTTACAGGACTTATATAGTCTAAATTGGACCAGTCATAGGACTTACATACTTCAGCTTGGACCAGTTATAGGACTAACATAGTCCATAGCAGACTCAGCGGAGGACGTTCAGGTTGGTTGTAACTCTGAGTTTCATGCCGCTAGGCAATCATCAGACAACTGATACTCGGGTCTACCCAACAGTATGCTTATAAACAGCTCGGGGATCAACGGATTTGGACTAACATAGTCCAAATAGGATCAGTGATAGTACCTATATCGTCCAGATCGGACCAGCTATAGGACTTACATAGTTCGACTTGGACCAACTAAATGACCTATACAAGTAGTCCAAATTGGACCAGATATAGGGCTTACGTAGTTCAGCTTGGACCAGTTATAGGACTTGAGAGCTCCCTTCGGTTTGGGTATCTTTTTCTGTGGAGGCATGCCAAATCCTGGCCAGAGCACAACACCAATGTAAGATTCTTAGACTCTAGTCTAGAGAATATATGATTACGTCATCATCAGATTCTAGGGTTTGTATGGAGTGGCGCCACACACACGTTTCACACTACATACAAAGCATAATTATTATTATACGATGATATTGGTGTTGCCATTTGCTTGACCTCTGCAGATCATGCATAGAGACTATGGATTCACTACATGTAAAGAGATGTGTTGCCACAACACATATACCTCATAAAATTGAAAGGAACACACTGTGCTGCAATGTGCATGGAGCCTGGATCTTTCCCCGGCATTGTCATCTCATTAATATGCCATCATGATCATACTCTTAAGTGCAGTATGCACCGTTCATCGATGACCGATGTGCTCTGAAGGGTTAAAACAGGAAAAGGTTCCACGCTGTCCAATAGAGTGCTCAGTGCCGAAGGGCAGAGCTACTTGCAACAAGAAAAAGAGGATGAAGAATATGTTGTTTCTCCGAGTTTCAGGTACTAGGCACTTTTGTCTGATGATCGCCTAGTGCCTGAAACTCAAATCAACAACAAATTCTTCATCTTTGTCTTCTTCTTGTTGATTATTACACTCTGAGTAGAAGATGCTTCAGATCTTACCTGGTGCAGGTGGTGCACCGGGCGCACCAGGAGGTGGTGGCGGTCCACCAGGCATTCCACCAGGCGGTGGAGGTGGAGGAGGTGGTCCACCAGGCATGCCACCAGGCGGTGGAGGTGGAGGAGGTGGTGGCCCTGCACCACCTGGAGGAGGTGGCGGTGGCGGCGGTGGTGGAGGTGGTGCAGGCGCAGGAGGACCGCCCGGTGTGGCAGGTGCCGATGATGTAACACTACCGTCGCCTTTAAGCTCTGCTAGCATCTTCTCGGCCGCTTCTCTGGAATCGCCCGATTCGGCCGTCTGACGTAGCTTGTCCATGATATGCTGTCGCTCTGCCAATTCCTTCTCCAGCTAATGCAGGTGTATGCAGCCCAGTTGAAAATTGAAAGACAAATCAATGACTAGTGACTAGCTAGTAATAACGGGCTAGTGCAGATAGGACACTAAGTCGTGTTTGTATCATTGTCTATATTCACCCGACTCTGTAGAGCAACGCGTTTCATCATACCATATCAGGCACTGTGACTCGAACCTAACGCAGTCAATTTTAGGAGTCACTCAGACAGGAAACCGTGATGATGCACTCTTCAGCCCAAGCAGGTGTGATTCTAGGCAATAGTCACTCAGACAGGAAACACGATACACACTTCAGCCCAAGCAGGTATGATTCCAGGCAATGGTCACTCAGACAGGAAACCGTGATGATGCACTCTTCAACCCAAGCAGGCGCGATTCCAGGCAATGAGGCCCTTACCTGTGCTCTCGTCTCCTCCAGCTGTGTGGTCAAGTCTTTCTCGCGCTGCTTGGACTCCTTCAGCGCCGAGTTCTCCTTCTCCAGCTTTTGCATCACCTTGTTCAGGGCTGCTTTGATGTCATCCTGTCCACAGAAGAGACAAGAAACGACAGAACTGAGTGCAAAGCACTCTCTCCAGAATACCTGGTGAGGTTTTCCAAAGGTATTTCATTGACTAACTGTAACTACCTGTTCTTTCTTCTGAGCACACACTTCATCTAATCATGGTTGGATGGTTGGATGGTTGGATGTGAATGATCATTCGGTATGCATGACTGTACCTTCTCTGTTGTGCGAACTTCACATTCCCGCTCCTTCTTACTCAACTTGGCTTTGGTGTCCTCCAGTGCTGCCAGAACAAACATACCAAATCACATACCACATTTACATCTTTGCCTTTGTACCATAGCGATGCATAGCCAGATAGTATAGGGCTTGAAAGTGATGACATCAGAATTTTTTTAAACGGCAAAACGGCGTCTGTCTGGGTCAAGTTGGATCCATTCTGCCCATAGCTAAGAGCAGTCTGTGGTGGGCAGGCTCCTCGTTTTCACACAAGTGTGAATGTTTTTTTGTACCACTTCAGGAATCGGTCCCTGAACGGGCCCAGTCAAGTCATTCCCGGCGGATGTGACACCCTGCTGCGAGGGGAAACCACTCAAATGTGTATGGATCAATACACTGTGTGACTTGACTGAATCCAAGTGGATCCAAAAGCCAGCATTGTGATGACTCTGTGCTGGCTGTGACGTAGCACTTGAGTCAAGCCTTTCCTTCAGACTTGCTTTTCCCACGTTCAGTGTATCGCCAGCATGACCATGCCGTGATGTGTACAATACGGACTTTCAGATAGCACTGACCTCTTGTGTTTTCAGTGTTTGAAGTTCTCAGCTCCACCAGCTCGTCCTCCCTAGCCATTCTGGAAAAGATACATGCCAACAAAGGAGATCAACTGATTGTACTGCAATCACAAACAATGATGCTACAACAAGATTAGCAATATGACTATTGTACAGCACAGTGCTATCTGATGGTATAGAATCTAACCATAATCAGTTGAAGCATCAATCATGCACTGTGATCTAGAATGATAACTGGTCAACATGGCACATTAAGCCTCAGTGGATGCTAAGCAGAAGAGACCTACGTTCACGGAATCTAACATAGGAAGGACGCGAGTTGGTGTTGGATATAAGTTAGAGAGGTAAATCTGAGATACGGGCAGTGCCCGATCCCAGGGCGCTTGGATAAGAGACGTTTGAGTGAATTGTCATGCATGTTGTGCATGTGACGTACTGTGTGACTATCTGGTGTACATCGATGACAAGTGGATGTAGGTCATGATCCATTGGCTGGTCATCCTTGTCCCTATCCTGCAGGACAACCTGCTGGATGAGCTTGTCCAGAAGCTTCCACATGTGTTGCTCATGTTCCCCTGTGCCAACAACACAAACATATCGGTGTATCGGCCATTGTACTCCTCCACTGAACAGATCAATAAGCATCGCTACAAAGAAAGTGGAGTATTCGGACAGTGTTCCCGAGGTACGTTCAAGGAGCAGAAAACCAGTTAGCTCAAGAAGGCATCAAGTCCAACCACCTCAAGAAATAATTGCCCTTCTTTTTAATGAATAGAGAAACAGAACGTCCATGTCAAATAGATGCATACTTAAAGACCTTGACCATCATGCTAGCATGTCAGAATGTACCAGCAGAGCCTCCTGTACGAACAATAAGAGCCTGGAACCTCTCTGTTTTAGAGCCTTCTGTACATGTAGATACCCGGTGGCCCTGGCCCCATTTCTCACGCGTCATGATCATAAAAAACACTCTCTTACCTGATATCATAAGAATGTGTTGGAGCAAGGAGAGGAAATGTTGGTAAGCAATGCCGGCCGACAGTTTCTTCTCCAGTGTCTTCAGCATGAACGATGGGTTTCTCACGTCCACGTGAGCCACTCCGAATCGATGTGCAAAGGCTTCCTCATCATTGCGCCGCTGGAGGATGAAGAAGTCCAAATGCCTACACATACAATGAGAAGACAATAGGAGTCATTAATGCAATACCTGCATGTACAATCTGCAGAATTGCAGGTGAGTAAATGTCATTTGGGTTCATCACAAACCAGGGTTCTCTGTAATAAGAACATAGTTCTGTCCAGTCTGCTTGCACAATGCTCGAAACCAGTATTAGGCAGAGCTTCCTAACGTAGAATGCAGAGCGAGGCTTCACGCGGAACTCATTTTTCACGTAACTCTGCGCCGATCTTCATGCACAGCTGTTGCTTCAGTACTCACTTTGCCACAAGCTGATTTCCTTGTCGATGCAGCTTGTCGATGATCTGCCCCAGTCCGAGCATCAGCAGCTCATAGCGCAAGTGAATACGAAACTCCAGACTCTCCTACAGATAGTGGGTAGCAGAACATACAAATACCACGCGAGGATGGCACACAATTGTTTATGTCAACATACACGGTTCATGTAATTAAGTCACCTAGACAGTAAATTTGTCGAGTTAGAATTCTACGAAGCATCCCGTCCATGTGTGTGAGTGTAACCGTGAGTGTTGATTTCAAGTTTGCACCGTTGCACGACTGGTATCATGCAGAACTAGATGATTTTGTGTAAGCGGCTTCATATGCTCTGTCAGCCATGTACAAAGTTCAACGCAGTATACCCATAACATTACAGTCCTAGCATAGCGTACCTCTCCAGGCCCAGAGAACATCAACGCGTTGAACAACGACATGATGCCGGTCTGCAGGGGAACTCCCTCAACTCCCGCTGCGCATGCACGGTCTAGGTCCACGATGATGGTCTGAGAGCATGACACAGGGAATGCAAACACAACATCACATCACCGTGAAATCTCGGTCAGCGTAGCATACCTACAAGAGTCCTGAACTTTGGCATAATGATGCAGACTTTCTAGCCAAGCCACCATGCAGCAAAGGCCAAAAGGACTGGGACACTATACACAGGATCAACTATGAAACACCAAGTTATCTTGACTAATACATCGTTCTTGCTCTATTCCAGTACAGCAGACAATGCAACCACAGTTCCGGTGATGAGCTCCCAGTCGATACACAATTTTAGATGACACACATTTAATAATCTTGCTAACCTGGAAGCGAGTTCGCTCTCCTGCAAAGTGTTCAAAGTGACTCATCGCACGAAGAACTTTCCTGTGTCCATTTGGAACCAAGCACAGTGCACCGAGAATTTCCAGAGCTGCCAACAAAACAAAAACGTTAACATGCCAGTTCAGTATACATGGATCTCCTTAATTTCATCTCAGTCAATACAAAGGTGAACGTGGCATGAGGGAAGTTTTGGTTGTGTTTATGCCAGAGAATCTACAGTAATCTCCGATCAGCCTTGGTATATGATACGCTATTCAAACCTATTGCACGGATTAGCAACACTGTCGATGTGGATCACCGCAGTTATCATGCACTAGACATATGGGCAATCTCTCTCAAATTACAATTAAAAGGTCATAATACACACACACAATAACATGTGGACATACATATGAATGCACACACGGATGCACACACATGAATGCAGCAGGCACGGGTGCCCATACACATGCACACACACACACACACACACACACACACACACACACACACACACACACACACACACACGCGCGCGCGTGCACGCACACACACACATGCACACACACACACACACACACACACACACACACACACACACACACGCGTGCACGCACACACACGCACGCACACACACACACGTGCGCACGCACGTACACACACACGGCACCCACCCACACACACATAGTTTACGAGACACACAGCAGCATCACCTCCCGGCTAAACCTACCGGCAACCTTTGCTTTGCTGTTGTCACCCCGCATGCTCTGAGCAATGATGTTGATGCCGTGTGGATGTCCCAGGACGTGAGCTCTTCCATGCTAAACACATTCAGGAAGACAGTAACCTCATTTCACCATGTGTATACATCCACAGGCTTCAGGAAGTCTTCAGCACAATGCAGCGGTGTTCAACTCTGTACACAGCGCTCATGTATCTGTGGCGCTGGGAGAAGGCAGTCAACCTTTGTGGCACTGAGCTCTACTAGTAAGTTAAGTTCTTAGCGTTACGAAACCTGACAAAGTGGCCACCTGGTCTGTACAAACACAGACTCACTTTCAGTTTGGCATCTAGTAGACCTGTAGATTATGCAGAAAGTGCAGCGATCAGTCACCCTGGGTTTAGAGACTAACTGTGATCAAGAACCACACGAGACTGGTCCTATGGGTGGTCACTGAAACCAGGTCGCCCTGTACTCATGTCACGGCACTGGCATTTGCCGAGCATACACCAGGAATTGGGTAACAGCTATAGCAAGAATGAGGTCATTAGTTCTACACATGCAGATAGGAACAGGAACGTACAGTGTTGTTCATCACAGACTTGATACAGCCAATGATTGAGGTGTGGATCACGCTTTGCCTGCATCGTCAGAAACAACCCAAGAACATTATATTATGGTGTACGCTCAGAATGACATGGCATGTTGTGTTGTAGCTGGTGTTTTTATGCATGTCACAGTATATGTGTCATAGGTGCATGCGTGTGTTGCTGCCATGTCAGAGTCAGCCTTCATCTTGAGTCTTTGTTGTCAAGGTAGCAGTTAGTGGGCAACATCATCTCTAGTCTCCTTGTGAACTTTTTTGCGAGGAGGCTTGATCGCCTGAGTTCGGAAAAGAAACTGAGGTGGGACATGCAGTGACATCTCCGTCTCTCCCTCTGCTCTCCCCCCACCCTCTCATACGGAAAACAGGCTTATCACACTATAGTATATTTATTCCAGTAGCTAAGCAAAAGACATTACTTAAGTAACCAGCCTTAATTCGGTAATTGTTTGTGTGTTTGTGTCTGGCGTCGCGTCGGCATGCCTGGCGTTATCCCGTACATGCCCTGTACCGTACCATCAAAGACAGCTGGCCACCTTATCCATTCGGTAATTACTTGTTTCTGTCCGGCGTGGCATGCCTGGCGCTATCCCGTACATGTCCCGCCACCTTATTCAAATAGGGCTTTCAACTGCAAGATCATACTGTGAAGCAACTTGGAAGAATCTTCATCTTGGGCACCCTGAAAGAAGACCTTAGGGTCTGTTGGGAATGCCCAAGTGAAATAATAAAATACAATACAAAATACAAAAAAAAGATTGTGTATGTATGCGAAGTGTATCGGGGGAATGCATGCAGGGCGATAGTGCGGGTTCGAATCCCATGTTAGGCCAAATCAAAGAAGATACTTCGTGATCGTCCTTTTTTCGGGAAAAATGGGGAGGGCGGGCGGATTTGTATTTTTATCATTGTATTGTACCACTATTTCTTGGATGGAACTTGGTGCTGGATCAAGGCCCCGTGGTCGCCCTTGTCACAATTGGTTCACCAACATCAACGACTGAACCAATGAATCTTACAATATCTCTCTCTCTCTCTCTCTCTCTCTCTCTCTCTCTCTCTCCCTCCCTCTCTCGTTGCTGCTGATCGTGATAGGTATAGGCAGCTTGTGTATCAGTGTACAGTCAGTATCGCCTATAGCGTTGGTGTTTGATTTTGAGCTTTTTATCACTATAAGCGATATATGACCGATACTGCATGCAATGTATGCAAGTGGGGTGTCAAACGACTCGGCGCGCCGTGCTCGTTTACTCTACGTACTGCACAGCTGGCTAGCGTAGTCCGTAGCTAGATTCTACGTCCTGTGTACGCAAGTATGCACGGTACCGTGCGGTATATGTACATAATAATTACCTTACTTGCACGGGGCATGGTCGCAGTTCGTTCTCCTAACAAAAAGGCTCTCGCACAGCTGCTATTGCCGTAGCTCCTTCGCGAAGTTAGTTTGAAAAGAATTTTTTGAACGCTTTGTTGAAAGGACATCAACGTTTGACGCCGCAACGATGGCTAAGGGAGCATCTCATAAGTTCGCATTTATTTTGCAAACGTAACGCATTTCGAATAGACTTTACCCCCTACCTCCCCCCTCTATTCGAAAGTTTTATCGCACATTTTCTGTGTTTATCTACTGTACACATCCATGCCCCATGCTATGGTATGCTTATGTACATGATTGTACATGACTGTACATGTACATGTACATGAATGTTTTGCTAGAGCGGTCGTGAATGGCATACAGTAGTACCGCATTTACTGAGTACAAAGACAAGTACAATCAATGACATGTACACGCAAATAAGCATAGTTCCTCCACAACAACTGTACTGCTGTAATTGTAAACGCTGGCCAGGTACACGGTTTGATCAGGCTGGTGTGACATTTGACACCTCTGAGTAGCCTGCATGCATGCAGTGCAAGGGTTAGCTGATCTGCAAACACAGGTACTAGTAGATCTCCACCTAAACACACTCATTTGCTGCAGGGATCTAGCACTAGCACGGTAGATTGTACAGTTCCAGAAAATGTGCGAACAGTCATTTTTCTATTCGAAATGGCCGCTACCCCCCTACCCCCGTTTCGAAATGCGTTACGTTTAGAAACAAAATGCGAACTTATGAGATGCTCCCTAAGCAGGTTTCAGTTCGGAAGTCGATGTCAGTCGATGACGAGCTGAAGGTCATCAAGTACGTAAGCGACAACCCCAAGAGGTGTCAAGCCGATGTCGCTCGTCACTTTGGAGTTGCCAAGCCGACTGTATCGTCGATCCTGCAGCGGAAAGAAGCGACACTCGAGGTGGCAGCAAAGGGCACGTCGAAGTTGATGAAGAACCGTCAGACGAACTGCGAACTGCTAGAAAAAGGCTTGGAAACATTCTATGGCAGATGTGGAAGAAGAAACTAAAGGCAATGAAATACGATATGCTTTTTGTGAAAGGCAAGGAGATTGCCGACACACTCGTAGAGCAGAAACATGTTTCACGATCGTCATTGCCTTCAACAGACACCGCCTGGAAGTCGTATATCCAGCGCTTTCTGAAGAAGCGGTGCATCGTGTCCAAAATGCTGCATGGAGAAGCAGCCGACGCGGATTCGGCAGCAGCCTTTCATTTTGTGAATCATAAGTGGCAGGAGATTTTCGGCAGTGTTGATAGTGACCCCAGCCGCGTTTACAACATGGACGAAATGGGCTTGTTTTGGCGGGCATTGCCGAACAGGACACTGGCTCGCACCGATGAGAAGCTGGAAGGAGGCAAGACACAGAAGGACAGAGTGACGTTCGCCATCACCACCTGTATGGATGGTTCGAAGCTTCCCCTTCTGGCGATTGGATGTTCGAAACTGCAGCGTTCTTTCCAAGCAGCCAACACTACCCCAGCTGCTGTGCTGAAGGGCAAGTGGGAAAGCAATACCAAGGCTTGGATGAACAGCCAGTTGTTCTGCAGTTGACTTGTGGATTTGGATAATAAGTTCACCAGAGCTAGGAAGTCCATTGTCCTGCTAGTCGACAACTGTCCAGCACACAAGTTTGACGCAATTGCAGATAGCCTCAAGTCGGTGCGAGTGGTGTTTCTTCCTTCCAACACCACCGGTGTAATCCAGCCATGTGATGCAGGAACCATCATGTGCTTCAAGTCTCACTACCGACGATCCTTGCTAACAAAGGTCGGCAGGCTGGTGGAGGATGATTCAGTGCCAGTTGTGAGCTCAACTGTTCTATGGCAGAATATCAACATGATGCACTGTTTGCAGTTTTCCAGGACAGCTTGGGAAGGGGTTACAGAGACAGCTAGTTTGAAATATGAATTTGATCACTATAGGCGATATAACTATAGACGATTATTACTACCGTATATTCTCTATTATAAGCACAGGTCTCCATTACTAGCACAGTCTCTAATACTAGCACACTGTGAGCATCTTTCGAAACATTATAAGCACAGTCTCTATTATTAGCACGGTCTTGGTGGAAATCAATGCTGCATGCATGATATCTAGCATGTATTTCTTCTTGCTCTCTATGGATGTATTGGTTGAAAAAATATAAGCACGGTCTCCAATATAAGCGCGGTCTCCAACATAAGCACGGGGTAGAGGGGTGTTGAAAAAATACAAGCACAGCGCTTATAATAGAGAATATACGGTATATACGATAACTGTGTATACTTAGCTTTGGCAAATGAAACTGAATTTGAGAAATTGATCAACCTGTTCTTCACATTGATCACTATAGCCGGTATATTACTATAGCCACCAACCTTATAGGCGATACGGAATGTAGTTAGGTTTTTTTCTCTTTTTTCTTCTTTGTTCTGTTCTTTTTGATGCTGCTGCCTTATGACACACATGGCACCCCTACGACCAGAATGTTTATGGGTTATACATACATACATACATACATATGTCAACAAACAATGGATCACTCGTAATATTTTTGCTACTCCGAGTTTCATGCACCGTGTGCAATCATCAGGCAGGTTTGCCTGATGATTGCACACGGTGCATGAAACTCGGAGTAGCAAAAATATTACGAGTGATCCATTGTTTGTTGACATGTGTCATTGCTCCCCCCAAGAAATTGGATGTTGAGCACTTTTTCTGCAGCTGCAGGCATAGTCTTACTGAGTACATACATACATACATACATACATACATTGGAAAAAAGTTTCCGTGAGTTCGAATACCAGGCATGATGACCTAGGCAAAAAAGCAGAGCGAGGGCCCTGAGCTTTCAACCAAATAGTTTCAAGCTCTCTCGCTTATCCCGCCCACACACACACACACACACAATGACTCATCACCATGATAGGGTCACACCTGCCCTCTCCTTCCCTATCCTACCCCCACCCTCCACGTCCGGGAAACATCATGCCTGGCAAGGCGCTTGCAGACCTGAGATCGGGACAAGGACATACCTATAGAGTATAGGTATGTGAATGGATACTAATGTAGCCGTGAGGTATGCGGCAAATGCACATTTGGGTGCCTATTACCACCCTCGATATCGGGATGGTCAAGGACAAATAGAGATGTTTGGCAGGTGTGAAACATACTTGTGGACCCAGTCTTCAGCCCAGTCTTCAACCCAGTCTTCAGCCCAGTCTTCAACCCCAGTCTTCAACCCCAGTCTTCAACCCCAGTCTTCAACCCCAGTCTTCAACCCCAGTCTTCAACCCCAGTCTTCAACCCCAGTCTTCAACCCCAGTCTTCAACCCAGTCTTCAACCCAGTCTTCAACCCAGTCTTCAACCCAGTCTTCAACCCAGTCTTCAACCCAGTCTTCAACCCCAGTCTTCAACCCAGTCTACAACCCCAGTCTTCAACCCAGTCTACAACCCAGTCTTCAACCCGGTCTTCAACCCCAGTCTTCAACCCAGTCTTCAAACCACCCGGCAGCTTCAAAGATCACTGCTGTGTGTATGAAGACTGCCTTCTGTGCACCACACGGTGGTGCTCAATTACAACAGATAGAGCTGCAGCACCAACAGAGGCCGCGAGTTGTGCCATACCTGCAGTCATACTCCATCTCGTTCAGGAACGCCAGGATAGTGTCCAGACCATCCAGCTCAATGAAACGAACCACAAACCTGTGCAAACACACACACACAGCACAACAGCACAACAGTAGAACCAGGTTGCATGAGCGCATGCAGGTACATATCGTCACTGTGTGTTAAGTTACAAAGACAGGTTCGTGCTCAGCGGCATTCGCTAACAACGCAGTGAGTGGCTTAGTTTGACAAAAGCAATGCTCAAACTCTACCTTTGCCGCTACTTTCTCAAAGCTAAATTCATTCCAGCAGAAATACACTAGACACTATGTGGCATCGAGTGGGTTTTGAGCTGGGGGGGGGGGGGGGTACATACGTGTTAGACTGAGTTCGCAGTGCTGTCTTGATGTGGTCCAGGACCTTGGCACGGTTCGATAGCTCTGCCACGTCATGGTCAAACGGCAGCTGCAAACACAAACAAAGTTGGGCATTAATTGCATGAACTTTCAGGATGGCTACCGTGTGCACGTAAATAGAAGCCCACCCTTCCAGGGCGTCGAGGGAATCAAAATAATAAAGTCCTGTCTTGTATAGTAGCCCGGGGCTAGCGAGTGTGTGAGCACATGGAAGACAGTCCATACCAGGCACAATGCATAGGCTGTGTCCGGTTTGCAGGTGACAGCACGTTGAACACACGAGAGAAAAAGTCAAAAAGTTCTCTCACCGTACCAGGGAAAGGCAGACTTTGGTGCATGGCACTGGTTTGGCCTTTGAAACAATGCAGCCCCATCTCAAATAGCCTCCCCCCCCCCCTCCCTCCCTCCTCCCCCAGTGTATTCAAAATACATAGAGCCTCGTGCTTTCTATTCAAACGTATACGGCAACCCCCCCCCCCCCCCCCCCTCTCTCCTACCACCGCACGACAAACAAACATGCACCACAAGAAAGCACTGCCAAACTCCACAAGGAACATGTCAAACACCCCCATTGAACATATCTAACACTAGATCTGCCTAACCAGATCTGTTCAATGGGTTGATCAGCTACAGTAAAAGCAGTCACTTCCACCAAATCTCTGAAATGCAGACATCCTTGGAACTGGCTGCATTTTCCCTCCGTAGGAGGATACTCTGATTAGCATTCACATATCGCAAAATGTCCTTCAAGCAATCAAGAGGGAAAGATATTGCTGCGAACGGGAAGGCATTCAGCTATGAACACTCATCGACAACGGAGGTTTGCAGCAATTCTCCTACGGCAGTACTTACATTTTTCAGCACTCTTAGCTGCTCTACATAGCTATCAGCCGTGTTGGTCTGGTTCTTCACAGCACGCTTATCATCGTCCTGAGTGGAAATGGTGATAAGAACAGGAAACATGCTGCTCAACGTCGAGCCGGGACATGTCGGTCTATCACCAATACTTTTACACCGAATAAGGCAAATAGAGCCTTGTTTGCATCGATCTTCTCTATTGAATCACTATGGGCATTGGTAACAGTGACAGATCAACAATAGCTATAAAAATAATGATGTTCGCAATACATAGCCCAGTATCCCATGATCGGCTACTGTGAAATGCTGGATATACATGTAGGGACACTCGGTCATGGTTGGCTTGCCTGCAGTAGTGTGTCATTACATCTATGCCTTCGGTCTACCTACACTCAAGTAGGCGGTTGTGCATTCCAAACTGCCATCCTTGACGAATTGAGTGGGACATCAAAATTTAATGTGGACGTGCATATTGAGTTCATAATCCGGCAAACACACCAATTTGCTTTGCCATCGAGAATAGCATGGGTCAGCAAGGTAGCCGGGACTAACACAAGTTACCCACACACATATTTGACAATCACTGTGCCTACCTTCTTCAGGCTCGAGCAATATAGCTGCCATTTCTTGTCATTGGGCATTTTCATCATGTCCGCTTTTCGGGACTCAGAAAAGTCAAGATCATCCTGGTAGTCAGCAAAAGAACACATATCAAGCGCTTAATTGTTTTTGAAAGAAAACGTCTAAGGAGACCTCATTTTAATAGGAGAGCTTGTATGAAGCAACATTTTGATTTCAACTGGCCAACATTCGACTTTTGGAAATTGATATTGAGTGATACGCCGAGCACAATTAGGAATGCCACCACCCTGATGCTAGGAAAGTGAGAACAAATGCCAGAACTCCAGCAGCCAAATATTCTACAAGGACAGAGGGTTTCAGGTGCGGACCTGGTTGGTCATGTGAGTGGCCACGCCTGCATGAAGCCTGCATGGTAGTAGGTGCGGACCTGACTGGCACGGAGCGTAGTTTGTTGACAAGTTCTGACCGACATGAGGTAATAAAAGTTACACGAGATCAGATAGTCAGTTTGTGCCCATAGTAGAAATAGCCTGGCTGTTTTCTAACACACCCGGAAAGGTGTTTCAGCAAAGCATTAGGATATTGGGCACAGCTTTCTAGGATACGCCACATATAGACTAACTAATCTGAACACTGCATGAGCTTAAAAAGAGAAAAGCTCTCAATCGCGGCAGTGCATTTTAGGTTTACTCTTTCCTTTTTCAGAAATCCAACATACTTGTGTGGATGCAGATAATCTGCTGTCCATTTATTCCCTGAATGTGGGACCAGACTCGGCTCACTTTGATGGCTTTTCACCTGATCCTTGTCGACTGCCATTCCAGACAAGAGTTTTGGTCTTCCACATTCACTGGCACATGAACAATGCCGAACTGGGAATTTTTAGGTGACTGAAAATCTCATTTGGCTGCGAAAGTGGCAAGTCCTGGCTTGGCGAAATCAATGCACTTCTGGCAAGTCGAATTTCCAGCACATGTTACTGTCTTGATGTGTCTAGATAGGGAAGCAGGGTGTCAGGCAGATGTGCTGAATATCTCTTGTAAGTTTACAACATAGCATCGGCTTCATGGTTGTGGGTGTGGCACGTGATATGTCACCTTATGATAAGCGACAAACGAATGACAAAAGGAAATGCCGCAGTGAAAATATCCTTCTTTGCAATATGGCGCAGCGTCAGTCTACCGATAGGAAGGCTAGCAAAAAATACACAGTGCAATGTCTACACTAGGGTACTGGCCAAGTGAAGTGTGTGTGTGTGGTGTGTGTGTGTGTGTTGTGTGCGTGTGTGCGTGTGTGGTGTGTGCATGTGTGTGTGTGTGGTGTGTGCATGTGTCCGTGCGGGAGGTGTCATCACAGGATATACATTTTTTATTGTTTTTATACGAACACAATGCCTGGGTCACACACATGAAGTAACATGCTATCCGTCATCGTAGTGAGGACACAGCGGCAGCGGCATATGCTTTGCAAGGTGCAATTGTGTTTGACCAGTTTGTGGCTTCCCCCCCCCCCCCCCCCCCAAACAAGGAATTCTGTAAATTGTGTTGGCAATGTTATGTTGTGCTACTACAGGTTGCTGCAAGGTGGGTACAATGGGTAGATGGACAGGAACCACTTAGATCGTACCCCAGTTTATGCCACCCTGTGTGTTGGTAACACCTAGTGTACATGGAGGGGGGGGGGGGTGTATAGTGGGCACAAATGACAGTAAAATAATGATGTTGTCACCTAAGTACCTCGGAACAACTGGCCAGCTATCTCCATTTACCTCCCAACTGAACTCCACTGCAGGAGCATCAGGTCTTGTGTCACACCAGCAGGAGCCAAGCCTGCTGATTACTCTTTGCTCAAGATCAACAACAAAACACATTGACTGTTTATACAGCTATCTAGTACAGGCAGGTAGTGACACAAAACACGGATGTTCTTTGCCTTTTGTATGCAATACACATCCACACAGCGGCACATACATACACCGTACAAAACAACAATTAATTCCACGGTGATCTTTTTTTTCCGGATGGACAGTCAGTACAGTCATGCACTTCGAATGGCACTCATTCAAACTCTCCCTAGCACCAGCACAGGTAGTGGAACTGGAAGCCCAAGGCTGAAGCTGTTCTACAATGCAAGCCAAGTCCCTTCCATTGCTTCCTCTGGCCACAATGTTATGAGCGGTTTCGGCAGTAGAGTCGGTACTACGTGACTCGCATTTTGCACGCTACTCGAGTGACTGGCCGTCTGACTCTGTGTTACTACACCTGAATCTAACAACAAGCCAGAGGAGGCGAGCGGAGATGATACCACCTGAAGCGAGTGCCTGCAATACCCGCTGCATGTCCACAGCACAGGAAGTAGCGTACTGCATTCTGCCACAACTCTAAACGCACCGCCAACCACGGCAATTTTTCTCTCTCAACTGACTCAAGCTAACCAGTGATACTTACTACCCTACTATACTCATACTCCACAGCAAAGCTAGTCTGGGGCAACCGAAGCACGACATAACTCTGTGTATACTAGCACACAACAATGTGGTAACATCAGAGCTCAGCCCTGGCCATCAGACAAGGGAGCGTGTTCTCCAGGTGCGATGGTTTTGTCTCTCCTCGACTAGGGAGATTAGCCTTCGAGATCACCTTTTTTTATGTAGGGTCTACCCGCACGCAAACAACATCACACATTTCAATTTTCGTGCCGGTTCAGTGGACAAACCAGCATGCCCACGCATACCACTAGAGCACAAATGGACGAATCGCACCGGTACCTTACCATAAGCGCCGAAAACAGACGGTTGAGCTCCTCGGGATCCTCAGGCATCGGCGGTGGCAGCGCCGCAGTGTCGTGGCCATGTTTGTCCCTAACACGCTTGCTTTCCCGGATCACGGTCTTCACGAACGGCGGATCGTCGTCTTGCTCGCGGTCTCGCCGGCTCTTGCGGCCAAAGCAGCCAAACAGCGACATTGCGCGCTGCTATGGCGGTGGGGGACACCAGCCTTGGCCTCTGAGAGCAGAGTTTTAGTTATGAACAATTCCGAACAGCGCGCTATGATTTCCTTGCTTCAAACGAAGCAAAACCTCTTGTCTTTCACCGCAAACCAATGCGATGCACTGGGAAACGATAATGTTTTCAACGAACCATGCATGCATGTCATTCAGTCAGTGCAGTCATGAACTCCGTAGAAATGTAGTTGGTTCAAAAATAAATCTCTCGGCTAAGCAGCAGCATACTGTGCTGAGTCCGTAGATAATCAGATAATGGTACCTGGGTACAGTGTAGACGCAAGCCATGCAGTCACGGCATGGTAGTCTGGACGACTCCTTTATTCTAACACCAACTAACCACTAACGGACAGACTCAGTAACTAACTAGCAAGTACCAATGACTATGTAACAGTGCATGCAACAGAACTTCAGAAGGGCAAAAAAGTTCAGCGGTCGCGCTGGTCTCCTCCTGCTATGGTGCGAGTACTACGGAGTAGTGTAGATCGACAGACTCAGTGCTAGTACTACTACTACTAGTAGATAGTCTACCATGGTCTACAGACTATGTAGGCTGTACGCCAGGTTTAGATCATAGTAGAATCAACTACATGTCATGTAGATCTACATGACTGATTGTACTCCTTTGTAGTACTGTCATAAATAATCATGGTACGGTACAGCTGGTCTTCTCTGTACAGACTAGACCAGGCACGGCTGTCAAGAAGCGGCAACTTAGAAAGATGGCGTCGGTTCGAGATGGCATGGTAACCGCGCACGTGCCGTGGTCCGTGACTTGCTCATGTGTGCACGCAAATGCAAGTCACAAACTCACAAAGATCGTCTTTGCATTTGGAGAAAATATCTTCGACTCTCTTTGGAGGTTGGCGAGGTTTGCCTAATCTTTACTTGATTGCGATGCCGGTATGTCCTCTCAATAATTAGAACAAAGAGAGCTGATGATCGCTTCATTGCTGAGCAGAAGTAACAATCAACTCTCCTCATGTCCTCAGTGCCAAAGGCAGACGACTGCAATTCCACAACGCTCATTTCACGATGATGGAAACAATACTCGTGTACTAGTACACACTTGGACCATTTGGTCATCCCTATTCTAGCCGCTAGTCCGTCCAGCAAGCAGATATTGACTATTACGATAAGTACAACTGCGTGAACGAGGGCTCACCCAGCAAATTCAATTCAAGACGTGACTCCAGTCAAGAATTAGGGTCTTTACTCGAGAACTTCACAAATACAGGTCAAGGCACCCCACAAAACTGATAGATGGCACGAACGAAAGACAAATAGGCTAGACAAAGTGTCCCAGGTGATTGAAAACAGCAGATCTACCAAATAAGACAGCTACATGTGCCTAAACAACGATTCCCATACAGTAGAGAGTAGTATCAGGCAGAATGAAAGCCTTGGAAGTGCACAAATACAGCCACGACCGCCACAAAAATTGGACGACCGCCACAAAAAAATTCTCATTGCTCTACCTCCTTGAAGGGTGAAAGTTACCAGTTATCCTATAGCGATGTCAGTTTATGCCTGTTGGAACCCCCCACAGCCCGCACGAAATACCTTTCAAATAATTCCAGGATGCAATTGCAGCCTCCAGACAGGAGGAAGAAGAACACCGTGAAAAATAACGGCAACGATGCCCAAACTCTCGGGAAACGGCTGAAGTCTTCTTGAAGATGTTAACATTGAATAGCCATCGATTACCAGCGTGGTTTGGTGACTTTAGAACTGTTTTGAGACTTAGAACGAAGCGATATCTCAAATTTGATGGAATTGTTACCTGTCAAATGCGTGGGCGAGCAGGCCAGCTGACTGGTTATGCATGAAGATGCATGAGCATGCATTGATTTTTCATGGTTCACGTGCAGAAAACTAAGTTGCCCCGATCCAAGTGCAGCTAACAGCCGTGCAGGCAGGGAGTAGTAAAATACATATTTTACTACTCCCTGGTACAGACTGTGAACATATTCAAATCATTGTCATTGTATCATTGTTGTGAACTAGGTCTGTCTCTTTGTCCAGGAGACGACCAATCAGTGACGTTCCCGCCAAGGGCCTCGCTCAATCGTAATTTTACTTCTCTAAACTCTGCATAAAATGTACGGTGTACTACTAAAAGCTACGCATTTCAGAAGGGTGTACGGTTTTTGCCTCCCGTACTCTTTTATCTGTACGATTTTCCTTTGTCAACTGCTGGCAGAACCCTATAAAAAAAAGATCGAAGTCAGCAAGAGTATAATTATACCGGGGTTACATGTATAATACTTTTGATTATAGGAAAGGGGCTCTAGAGCCGAGGCCCCTAAATAGCTCCACAAGCTATGAATAAGAATGAAGCTCGCAATAAGAACCCAGCATTTCATTTGCTTCTATTCTCCTTTTAGTCCTCAGTGGTGCTGAGTTATTATACCACACCAATTCTCTCCGCACACAAACCAGAAAACTACCCAATATACCCAGTACCGTGACAAGCATAATGCAAGTTAGATAATACACATGTACATGTAACCTCGTTCCAAAATAGTTAGTGCATGGCAGGGAGGGCCTTATGGCTTGTTTGTGCCCTTCACTCCGGCTTCAGGTTAGCATGAGGAGGAGGAAAGGCTGGAGATTGTGAAGAAACCGTGTCTGGAACGACAGGAACCGTCCTGGCCCTCCTCCTCGGAGAAGAAGTTGTGGCGCTTGCGTGCAACCGTTGCTTCAGACCGACTCTCCAGACAGGAGCCTGAGGAGGGCAATGCGATCACAGTAATACTAATAGTGAGCACGTCCAAAGCCGGAAGGATGCTTTGTCTTGTTGTCCAGTGTCACTTCAGGTGTCCTCTTTCCCTGATTATTAGCAGGGCTAGGGCTGTGTTTGCTAGTAAAAAAATGAAATGTAGATAGGAGTAGATTGAGTTTTTTGCACTCCATACATAATTTTATTTTCATTATTTTATTGGTTTGGTGAGACTCCCATGATAGGTATCCATTTACCTCTGGAGAATCCGTATTACAAAACAAACAAACAAACGAACAGATGCTGCCATAACAGTCATGTGACCGGCCGAGTAAGTTCCACGCAAGACACATAACAGAGTGTACAATCATGTACATGTATCTCTATCTGTTAGATTTGTTCTAGAATATTCCGGTCTTTCTTTTGTTTTGATCAGGGAGTAGTAAAATACAGTATTTTACTACTCCCTGGTTTTGATAGTTGTAGTCCAGTGGATTAGTGCTGGTCATGCTTGGTAGGTCGACTGAGACTCATTCATGGCTGTTACATGCATTGTATGATAGCCTAGCCGTAGCTGACCACTGTTACGGATGTCCAATCCAGGTCAGTGTTTGACCTTTCTATGCCCCGGCCTTATGCATTCACATGTTGTCACCATTCATGTCTGAGTGTGTAACCTGAGCACACTCTCTATGTGCATCGTACCATATCCGAGCATGAATAGTTTAGTAATCTACGCACTGTCCTGCCGTGCTCGTTTTCTATATCTTCCGTTGTTCTCATGTTCTTGAAGTAAGTTACCGGTAGTTGTTTTAGTTTACAGTCTTCGTACCTTTCGTAATGTAGGTTCTTTACTGATTGCTGCAGTGCATTTAGTTGGAACACTATCTCTTCACTTCAGCACATTATTATTACTAGTAGTATTGCTGGACCGGTGCCGTGGTGGTCGTGGTCGTGGTCGTGGTGGTGGGGCTTTGTTGTGACCTGTCGGAGTCATGATGCCTGGCGGGAATATGCACTTGGATGACAGCGTGTACGTTTTCTTTTCTGTTGTGCATGCAAACCCCAATGCCAATGGTATGTTGTTTACTGCTCTTTACAACGCCGGGTGTAATCGTCTAAGTCTTACGTGGTACAACCAGTTAGCGTGAGCAGAAGGAACAGAAGGCGTCGACGGGAGCTGACCCGAAGCTGGGAGATATATTATTGCAACACTCCGAGTTTCTCAATTATTATTTATGGCAGGAAGCCGCTGGGTTGAAGTGTTCCGGCGTCATGACAATCCGAATGCAGAAGCACTGCACATGTATCACCATCTGCTATCGCCGCCCAGTGGTGCACTGCATACAAGTGTGGGAAAAACTGTCTGTAGACAATGTGCTGTAGTCCTAAGAAAGGAGTGCGACCACTACTCCCTGGTCTTCTCTTCACTACCTGTATCTACTTCACCGTACAATGTACTGTCCAGTCTTGCCCAATGTCAGAATAATCCCCATAACAACATCATTCCGCTCTACAAAGTTTCGAGCTTTGACCGATCTCAACGTCCTGATCACTTGTAGAATGCCTGTTGCTGAAAATTCGTTATTATTGTTTTTATATTGGAGTTCAGATTGAGGTACTTTCATTTCTTCCTCTTCCTTCCCCTGTTTCTTGTCCTTTTGTTTTTTAGCTTTTATAATTCCATGGTGGGAGGGCGAAAAGAAAGCGAAAAAATATATAAATAATCGACGCGGAGACAACAATTTTATAATAGCTATAAAGAGAAGACACTGGGAACAGAAGATTTAGCAACAACAGGAACAACAACAATGACAACAACAACAATGGTAACAAATTACCATCAAGATCAAAGGAGGAGTCAACGAACAGAGGTTCAGCAACGTGAAGCGAGCCTGGGACCGATCGGTGGTGATGAGGAGAATGACATGGAGGACGACACTGAGGACGAGTTGGAAGATGAGACGGGGGACGAGGTTGCGGTTGGTGGAGACGAGGAATCGGATGGTGATTGTGATCGTAAGAAGTCTGCCGTTTTTCTTCATCTGTTGTCTCACCCTAAGTGTCTGCAGGTGTATGATGATTTTAGTTTTTCTGTTCTTTGTCGTGCACGGTACGCTAGTCAGTTGAAAGTACTTGAGGCTGTTTGTATTCGTTTGCATAAGCCTGATCTTTGTAAGCAGAAGAAACATGTAGTTGCGTTAAGATTGTTTTCGTAGGTGCACAGCATGATTGTTTGTCTCACTACACAGTTCTAGCGTTGCAATTAGTTCCTCACCCCTGTTGCACTTAGCTCTCACTTTACTTCTATTGTCTCACCTTCCCTCATTCTATTTTTAGCACTTTGTTTTGTTCTCGTAACACATTATTGAATGTATATAAATTATTGATTTGGCATGGTTATTCTTCAGTCACGGCTTTCCACTGATGATTGTGACAAGAACTTGAATCGATTTTGGTAAACCTTCATGACTTTGTTGTAGTGTGGCGATGACAGCAGAATTTGTTCTCTTTATAGCTATTAAAAAATATATACCATGGAATTATCTTCCCGGTGGGACTGGCTTATCACCTTCGAAAAGATTGAATAAAGGAGACATAATAATATTATCCGAATATGTCCTGGCCTCCTCCATACCTGTATTTCCGTGTATCTGTGTCCGTCTCTCAGTTTCTGCTTCGGCTTTTATTATTTTTTGCTTTTGTTTTTACAATCCACTTCGGTCCTCATTGCATTGGCCATCTATCTAATTTTTCTTCTTCTTTTCTTTCCTCAAACTCTCATTACCCCTGGTCTATTTTGGCCCGGTGATGGGGTTCTTACCTCATATCATGACAACGTCAGTGAAATAAAGCCAATATCATAATAATTTGAAAGTAGGACGGAGGCAGAAATTTTACAAAAAGGTATTGTCCACGCATGCATCTACGCAAGAAGCATCATCAGCCAATTAGGACATTTGTCGTACGTATTGAACGTTTTCGTTAAAATACTACAGGGAATGATGGAAATAAACTAAGAGACTACAACTCGAAAGAAAGGAAGTCACTGTGTGCTGCTCTGCGTCCAGTTTGTCCTGCTTCCGAAGTTCCGTGCTCTACCTCGTTGCAATTGAGGAGACGCACTGATGATGAGTCACAAGGACCAATACTGGAAGTGACAACAACGGTTAATGTGAAGAAATGAGGTAGACCACGGAAACAGGGCAAACTGGACGCAGAGCAGCACGCCGATGTAGGCCAAGTCAATCGGACGCAATGGAGGAGACTGGAGAGCGACAGGATCGGAGATGAGAACCTCCAAGTCGTCAGGTCAGAGAAACCGAACATCAGCAATCAAGCATCACTTGTCGGGCAGTGCTAGCGTCGTGAGTGGTATTCTGATGATAATTATATCCTTTGCTTTGTCACGTCACGTGGTAGGTCTTTGTTACATCTTGCTTGTGTTGAAGTTGCCGTGTTGGAAGCTTTGTACAAACGTAAGTTAGACCCTGATCTTTGTGTTCAGAAGGAGAATGTGTTGTCTTTGCAGTCGTTTGGCATTGTTCGTCGTGAATGTGTGAAATAGATCCGCTGATCTCTTGATGTTTTTTCTCTAATTCCTCTTAAAAAATCCATGCACGGTGAGTTGCTTCAATGCTTCCAATGCTCAAAAAAAGTTCCTATTCATTACATTACAGAGATAACTAGTATCAGCGAAGCGGACATTATGCAAAGAACAAGGTTCCTAATCGATTTTCTTGAGACTATCATCAGGGAAAATTGTCTCACAACAGAAGCTACACGTATGTGGGGAAACAAACTAACTTACCGGTATACGTCTGGAGGATAGTGGGAAGTATAAAGGTGAGATGTGAAAACAATGGGAGAGAAGACGAAAAAGAAGAAGAAAAGATCTGAGTGTTCCAACGGTGTGAACTAATACCAAAGCTGAGTGACCTTCATCTTTCTGTGAGAACCGGACCTATGGGACGGTGAGAAGGCAATCATGCGTGTGCAATTCAAATTGGTGAAGTACAACAAAAGTCAACAACGACAACAACAACATGAAGCTGTAATAAAGTTATTGTCTCCTCGTCGCCTATTCAGTTCCTATTCAGCGGCGGAGAGAATTGGTTTGAGTGCAGTACACAGTCGATCCACTTCCTCCAGCGTGTTGTAGTGAACCATAGACACCCGTGCTGCACCGTCCTTGGCATCGATGCCTAGTGACTCAGCCAGGTGGCATGAGTAGAAGTGCTCACTGACCGCTATGGCAATTTTGGACTCGGCCACCTTGCGCACCATATCCTGAGATGATACGCCGTCAGCGGCAAACGCAATCGTCGGCATTCTGACCTTGTGATCGCCCACCGCTGGGCCAAAAACACGCACCCCCTTCATGGACTTGAGGAAGTCGATCAGTCGAGTGCTGAGCATTTCCTCGTGTTTCTCGAACAAGCCAAAAACTTTGCAGTACCTTATGTGCAGAGAATCGTCTTCACTGGAAGCTGATTGTTTGTCGGGCTGGTAATGATGCTTATACACAGTCTCAATATAATCCACAACACCCGCTGTTGAGGCAACACTGGTGTACAGCCCGCCACCAGGGTTCAGCATTGCTGGCATTATGCCCTCCAGGAAGAAGTGGTTCTGATTTCTGAAATGCTTTTCCATGCCTTTCTTGCAGTACAAAACTCCCAAGTGCGGTCCAAACACTTTGTACAGGCTAAACCCGTAGAAGTCTACATCCCATTCTTTGAACTTCAATGGTGAATGAGGGGTGTATGCCACACCATCCACACAAACCAATGCCCCTGCTTCATGAACCAGCTTGGCGATCAAGCCCACATTGTTGGTGGCTGCCACTACATTGGACGCGTGTGTGAAGCACACGACTTTCGTCTTGGCCGACAGCAGAGCACGCAGATCGTCCACGGACAGCAGTCCTGTGGTGGCATCCACCTTCCATTCACGAACAACAATGCCTGTTTCGCTTAGTCTCTGCCAGCATCCAATGTTGGCCTCGTGGTCTTGGTGGCTTACAACAATCTCATCACCTGGACTCATCTTTGTACGCAGAGCTTGCGCCAGAACGTAGAAATTTACCGTGGTGTTCGCTCCGAAAATCAGCTGATCGGTCTCCACGTCCAGCATCTCTGCCAGCTTTGTCTCCCCCAGGCGTATGCCCTGCTTGGCTTCGGCACCTTTCTCATAGTGGGCATACGGCTGCCGCCGGTGGTGCGTAAGAAAGCTGACCGTGCAATCAATCACCGACTGGGGAACATACGAACCGCCAGCGTTCTCCATGTATACCAGGCCATCCGCCAAACTCGGGAAAAAGCTCCGGCAGAAGTCCACATCCAGCACTAGCTGATCGGCAGCCATACTATAGTAGTTCCTTCTTCTCCCAGAAATCCGCATCTACATAATTCATTGACCAGTTCATTGGTTCAGTACAACGCTGCCGCAGAACGTGGTAGATCTACATGAAATAATTGTAATAGATGATTTTTCGCTGGTATCGCTATCTTCGGTCGTAGATCTTGTATAATAGATTCTGCTTCTGGCTGTGCTACTGAGATACAAGTACAACTCGCGGTGTGCACTGCATGTGCTCCCCTTGCTTTGTGCGCACACGTCCGTTTCTGGCTGTGCTGTTCAGTTGAGTGTTCAAGTGTTGATATGATACACACATGTCCGGAACCTGGGTGTCCAGGCCAGAATTGGCAGAAGCTAAGAAGGCACTTCTACTTGTCAGTAGATCTACGCTGACACACGCGTCCAAGTCCGCTCAGATGGGTACCGACATCTAGGTGCAGCACTGGGCTTATGTCACGGGCAAGGTGAACACTGACTTGGTGCAAGGAGGTTGACAAGCTGTCTACGTTTGCCCACTCCCAGCCGCATGCAGCGTATTCCACGCATGGTCTACGGCATCTCTGGGCATTTGTTGCCAGGACGGTACGACTCTCGTACCCAACACAGCTACCCTGCTGGAGCCCTTGGAGCAGGCGGTAATACACCTGCTACTCCCAGCCCTCCTCGGCCGCCCCTCTCCAGGCTCTGCCGAAGGGAAGATCCTGGCCCTACCATGTCGCTTGGGTGGCCTGGGAATAATCATCGTCTCTTCGTTAGCAGAGCAGTTCCATTCATCCTGCCACATTACCCAACCGCTGGTTGAGGGAATCCTCTCTGGCATTTCCTACCTGCCCGATGTCACGCAGCTTACACTGCACAGGAAGTCGGAAGCCCACAGCCGACAGCGGAATAAGGAGTCGACCATGGCCAAGGACGTCGTCTCAG